ATTTAGAATAGGGCATGACAACCAAAATGGCCAAACTCTTTTTTTCACAGTTATGAAAACACACAAGGATTTGTAAGACTGTCTATTCTACTCTCTAGCAGAAAGTAGAAGGGAGAAGTGTATGTTTTTTGCTTATACTACAGCTTCGGGAAGAAGGTATATTATAAGGTGACTTACTGAAAGCTGGTGGATTATCTTGCTCTGAACTTCTATTCCCACATGCCCAAATATGTATGTGTATTTTTGATTAGTTGCTGTTTTATAACTAGTGAAATTGTGAGTTAATTTAGCCTTTCATTTAAACATCCACAGGGCTGGATTAGTCATTGTCCTCACTTCAGAATGTTAGGTTTCTGATTTAGTATGTTCCAGGTGGGCAAGACTGCTCAACACATTTGTCTTGAGTGTTTTTGTAACTGTTTAGTTTGTCTGGCGATGATCATGAGCAACCTTTGAAATTGTTACTTCCCAGTAGTATTTTCGGTTTGGGTAAAGAGGCTCCCAGATGAACTTCGCGTCTCTAATTACAGGTGCTGATTACGCTATATTCCTCTCAGATCAGCTAAAAGTCCTTGCAACCCTAAAAACAGTACTATGTCTTATAATAATGGCCAGTCTTCGCGAGCGAAGATTTGGGAAAGGTCATTAACCCTTCGAGCCTGCGCAGTGGATTTTTTTTAGGTGAGACACAGCGTGCGCTGAACTGAGCCCACCCTTTAATCCTGAGGTTCATCTGCCGGGGCTGAGCAAGCTTGGACAGTGGCAGTGAGGTCCTCAGAACGTAGGTTTGTTTAGAGTGACCTTCTCTTAGATGGATTGCCTCACAGGGCTAACGAGCTCCATCTGCCCGGGGGGCTGGGAATCGAACCCAGGTCGCAGCGGTGAGAGTCCTGCACCCTAACCACTAGACCACCAGACTCCCAGAGTTAATGACAGCAGCTCTACCTACCCCTAAAGTAAGTGCTGCAGTGGTTCTCCAAGAAGTCTGGAATATTTTCACTGGTTGCTTCTCTAAGATGAAGTTACATAGACATAGGTCACATGGATTATGTAGCATCTAGCACAGACAATTCTAATCCTTTGGGATGTTTTTAATAGATTTACATGATTTATGGTGATTGAGTAGTAAGTCTGGAATGGAAAAAGAGATTTAAAAAAAAACAACTTGTGTATTAGAGAATTAAGGTTTGACTTAGGTTTGTGTGGACTAGACAAAACACACAAACTAAGAAACTTGGCATTACTAGGGCATATATCCGCATTTCAGAATCTTAAAGCTTGTAAACAGAGATAACTTGCCAAGATTATGTTAAATATGCATTGTACAGTAAAGAATAAAAGCTGCATCTTTGAAATCAATTTGTTGCCTGTAAAATTTACACCTCTGCATTTGATCTGAATCTGAATTTGGTCATTAAAATGCATTTTTACTACTTAAGCAGTTCTCATTTTTATGGCCTTTTTATGTTTTTCTTATTTTTCCCTTCTTATGCTGCCTTTTGAGTTTTTATTTTGTTTTACAACACCTTTTAAATATTTTGGGGAAGCAATTTAATGACCTGAATTTAACAGTACTTTTTGTAGGAGAAAGATGCATGATTCAGATGGAGTAAGATCAAAGTTTTGAACCTGCAGTGAAGACCTGTGTTTGGGAATAACGTTTTTATTGTAGTTTTTTCTCTTTAAAAAAATTGTACTCAATTTAACTTTCCCAATTAATTAGGCTGAAATAAAGCATTCACTCTAAAATTGCTTGGATTATGTATACTTTGCTTAAGGTTTTCATGTAGGTATAATATGCTTGTCTTTTATGCTGTTAATTCAAAAATTTTATTTCTATAAGAAATTCTTGCTTGAAGTTGATTGTTAAAAGTATTAAGTAGTTTTCTAGCACATAATTTAAATTCTTTAGAAGTGTTTAATGATTTTTTTTTTAATTCCTAGTCCTATTACTTTAAAAAGTCAAATCTAATTCTGTAAAAGAGTTCTCTGTTAGGTATCTGTGATTAATTATACTTAAGCTTTTGAATCACCTAAAGTTTTTGATTGCCTAGTCCTTCCAAATATTTAATCAATGCATACACCTTCCTTTTAAGCTGACTTTGAGAATTCATTTCCACAGGACTCTGGAATTTAGTATTCCTCTCTTACTGTACCACATAGTAAGAAGGTAAAGGGGGAAACCTCTTCTGCCCTGTAAGAACAGTATTATGAAATCTGACTGCCCTTCACAGCTATTTCAACAAAGTTGTAATGGAGCCATTTTTTTCCTCTATAATAATTGTTTTCTTTATATACAGGCAAGCCAAAATAGATGGGCAGGCAACAAATGCTAAGCTTGAGGAAATGACCAAATTGAGAGAGAAGCTTCAGAGCCAATTGGAGAGAAAGGTATTCTAGAGAAAGGAATAATTTCTGTTGCAACTGAATGGCCAGTCAGTTTCTGAATGCCGATGTTAAATTATTTGCAAGTTGTTATTTAGTTTGTTTTATGTGAGTATATCTTTATTTTGTTTAGGGAAGCTCAGATCCTGTCATGGAGAATACATTTATTCTTTCTAGGAAGAAGACATGATATCTGCTCGAGAAAGAGAAACAGCATCTGACAAACGCTTGCAGCAAATGCAATCTAGTTTAAAACAATTAGAAACCAGGTAAAGATAACTCATTGGGTGTTACTAACAGGATACTTGCAAAAATTATGCTTTGATTCTGCAAAAAGAGAGTGGTTGTTTTATGACAAACACGTTAGAAGGAAACAAAGCACTGCTGCTTGCGAAGGCAGCCTGAGTGTTGCTAAAGTGCTCGTTGAGGATATTTAGAGCTGTGCTCTTCATTGAACCAGCAGCACTTGTGAACTTCGAGATTTTTTTGAGGATCGCTCTGAGGCTCTCTTGCCCTTTCTCATGCTTACTGGTGCAATCATAGGAATTTCTGAGCTGTTGTTTTTTTCTTCTAATAGTCTAGCTGCAACTTCGTTGCCCACATCAAATTATTCCGTTTCCTCCACAGGGGAAAACTTTATTTCTTTTGGGGCTCTTCTATTCTGGTTTAATATAGAATATTTTCAGAGATGTATCCCAGGATAGCAACTTTCTTCTGAGATTAGATATCTGAGTTAACTCCTTTAATTCTGTTTCTTTCTAGGACTTGATTAATATCAAACTCAAAAACAATGCAGTTTTGGGTAGCTCATGAATAGATGCTTCCTATTAGTTCAGTCTGAATGGATTAGTGTCTTAATTAGCCATGTTATTGTTAAATGAGTAAAATTAGTACTGTCTTGTAGATTACTTGTTACTGTCCAAGATGCTGAACAGCTGAGAACAGAAAGAGCAGTCCTGGAGGAACAAATCAGAGAGCTTCAGGCCAAGGCTGCTAATCTAGAGAGTGAGAAGTATGATGCTGTTGTAAAAGTCCAAGACTGCATACAGCTCTTGGAAGAAGCTAACTTGGAAAAAAGTCAGGTAAGTCATTGGATAAAGGTATTTCTTAGAAATTAGAATACTTTCATCACTTACAGTTGTGAAGAGCCTGATTGCATATTCTCACAGGCATATACACATGCACGAGCTGACTTCTTTTATGTCTGTTGTACTAAAATTAGTAACGCACAGATAGCAAACTGGGATATGACATTACTTAGGCTTGTCATAGAGTATAAATTTCAAACAATATGTTGAGTGCCTGGATAAATGTGATCGAAGTGATAATACTGTACCTGAACATGAATTTTCCAATTTTTTTGACAGTTTCTTATCACATACATACTAACAAATTCTGCTGTCAGACTGAAAAGGAAGGTTCTGTTATGAATTTATCACTTAAAAATGGCTAGGAAAGAACAGCTAAACTAAAGGGACTTTTTTGTTCTATGAGGGACATAAGGCACCAAGAGAGAGATCTGTGTTCAGAAAAAGTGACTGAGTAATGAGTGGGTAAAGTCTGCAGTCAGGAAAAATTTGAAAATATGTTTATTAGTCTATTATAAAATGGCAGAAAAAATTCAAACATACCATATTGGCTGCTGAGTTTAGTCTTATCAGTCAAAAAACAATTTAGGAGATAGTGTGGATCTCTCTTAAGAACACATTCACACAATCCTCAGTGGTGCTCGATACAATTAATAGGATGTTCATAATGGGAGTTTAAAAAAAAAAAGCCTTTAAACATAATGCCCCTTCATGTGCAGTTTAGATCAGCCCATTTCAGACAAGACATAGGAAAACTAGGAAAGTGTAGGAGGAGTCAACAAAGAAATCTAGATATGTGGAAAGGCCTTAAAAGAAATTTTTATATACAATGTGTGATTAAACTGTCATAGGTTGATGTGTATACCAGAAGTATAGATATGAAAACAGTAACATGCACAACAGGGGGATCCACCAAAACTTCCTAAAGTACAGGACCTAATCTAGCAAGTCTTGATAAGCCTGTTGATCAAAAAAAATTAGACCCCCTATTTTCACAGTTCTTAACTTTCTTAAAGTATCTGCTCTTTGCCCCTTTAGAAAATAGGATATAGGGCTTGGTAAACTCTTGTCTAATATGGCCTCTTTGTATTTTAATGCTAAGCTTCAGTTCCAGTCAGACTTTTGGAAAATTGTGTTTGGTTCCAAGGCAGAACTTTAATGCCCATCCAGAGGTTGTAGCCATCAGTTGGTGAAACCCAGTTTAGTTAATGTCTGTGGGAATAAGCGGAGGATCTTAGAACTGATTCTGTTTCGGCTTAACAGTTCAACACTGTTGAGCAGTTAAAAAGATAAACACTTCCTTTTAGCCTGGAGTTGCTCTTCAAACTCAGAGACAAAACAAAGCAGACAATTCTTAATTTAGTGCTCTGGCTAAAACGTCCTGAATTTTTCAAACTGGGAAGTCTATTAATGAACAAGATACAAAAAATGCACATAGCTGTGAACGCTTTGTGTTATAAACTGTTTTCTTCCTGCTCTGTTAGGGGTTGTCTTGGGTTAAAGACAATGTTACTGAGGAGGTGGGACCTTCAATGGGAGGTCCTACATCCCATCCATTAAAAATAATGGGACTTAAAAGGAAGGAGTATAAACAAAGTAACAAATTTTACTAAGAAAAAGGGCAAAACCAAAATAAAACAACAAACACACAATTATAAAGAATATCACCCAGAAAATCACTCTGTCCACTTCCGTGAGCCAGCAAAGCAGTTCCACGTGGCCCCTGCGGCACTGTCACACAGAAAGCAACAACAGTGGCAACAGCAGCAGCGGCCGGGAGAGCTCCAACATGCAGCGCTGGTGCTGGAGCGGGCAGGAGCGGAGGGCACAGAGAGGGCTGGGACCAGTGGGAAGTCCAGAACGACAGGAGGCAGGGAAGCCCCTGTGGGAAATATCCCTCTCTTTAAACTTAGAAAGACGGCAATAAACTTAGGGAACAAAAACAAGGCAGAATTTATTCAACGCGTTGGGTCTTTCTCGGGGGAAAAGACACCTTCGGTTTAAATTCCATACATTTTATAGTTTCACAAAATCCCCTCCTTTTCAGATAAGTTTTAATGTATTTTTTTTTTACCTAAAAAGGTTTCTTTTCTCTGAAAAGGGGCTTTCCCTTTATCCCAATTGGCTGCAAGCCATCCCCTGTCAAAGGTGATGGATATTTCTTTGTTCTTAGCCCAAAGAGAAGAACCCCGTGTACAAAATGGCCCTAAAAGATTTAATTTTTAAGAATTTTCTCATTTCCCTTATCCCGTCAAAAGAGACCCTGATACCCGAGTTCAGGTCTTGGAACTTGGATATCTTACAACTTCACGATACGCCTATTTATAAAAAAAACCCGTATTTTTAATTCTCATACCCCAGTGGGCACAGTGAACCAGCAGACGCCTATAGTTGTAGCAGGTGAGGGGAGGAGGGGGGCGGCAGCGGCTGCCGTCCCGGCGTGGAGAAGCGGGCTGCAACAGGCCGGCTGGAGGCTGCGGCAAAAACTGGTGCGAGTCTGGTGGGGGCAGCCCCTCAGGAGCAAGCGGGACAGCGGTGGACTAGCAGGATACTGGCGTGGGGGAGAGAGATGGTCTGGGTCGGGCAGGCAGCGGCTTCTTGTCAAGTACTGAGCAGGAAACAAACAGGTAGTCCCCATGCCAGCAGTGAGTGGGTTTTATCCCCCCCAAACTCCCATGCCACTTCACGCGATAACCCCCTCTTCAGTCGGTGTGCCGTGCCTCTGTGGGCAGGCCGCGGTGTTATCAGCGGGTGCCCCCTAATGGTGGTATGGGAAAATTACAAGAGAATCTAAAACCGTAGCAGAGGTTGAGGTAGAAATTGTAATAATGCTGCTTCTGTTAACATTAAAAAGCACAAAAAGCTAAGCTTGTAAAAGGACATCAGAAGAATTTTAAGAGTAGTTTGAGCAATAAAGAGCAAAGTTGAATTATATAGGATCAGTAAAGGAGATTATGACTAATGAAATGGCATGTTATTGCCTGAAGTGAGTAACCTTCTACAGGCTTAGCTTATTTCATCCATTAGGGACTTTTTTATGTCTTTCTCCCTTTGTGCATATACACATTCTCTATGTGTCACCTAGGATTCTTGATAGGTGACATAAAAAATCCTATATTCTGTAATCTTTTCAGACCAGTATCTTGTGTTATACTGTAACATCAGTAACTTTCTTGCATCCCTCAGAGGAAGGGTTCCTTGCTACACTTTCTTCTGTAATTCTCCCAATTTTTTTTATGCTGAAGAGCTGTTTCGTTCACTGCATCCAACATGAAAGGGTCTGCATACCTGTTCCTTAGTTGCCTGTACATTTTTATTCCTTTACTTTTAGTTTTCTCGGAGATGAGTAGTATATGAACCATAAAAAATGCTTAGCTTTATGTAGGAGTGTATGTGTGTATACAGGTATTCAGTTTCCTAATAGAAACCTTTTGCATGCATCATTGTCAGCATGTTTTTATTACAGATACTGGCACGAGATAGAACACTGGAAAGTAGCTTTGCCATTTGCTCTGAGTTCCTGTGCTTGCTTCTGTGTGAATTCCATGCTCAGCCAAAATCTGCAAGTCCCAATAAAAAAGGCACCTACTGATACTCTTTGTGTGATTCTGATTTACAAGAATGTGCATTTAGTGCAACATGTTTTCACTGTTCTTGTTTTCTTGTTGAGTCTCAGTGTCAACTGCTCCAAAGTAAAAAGGAGAAAAAGTGTCTTTTGATCAGTGACTATATGTGGTTTCTTCTCTCCATGCTAGGTACTGTGTCGCATTAAAATATCAGTCATATTTGTTATTTTTTTTTCTAGGCACTCTTTGGGGAGAAACAAAAGGAAGAGGAGATCAAAAAAATGAAAGATGAAATGTCTCAACTTGCAGAAGATACTGCTGCAAGAATTAGAAAGGCAGTAAGTTACGATGTTTAGAATGGGAAGATTTTTTGGTTTTCCTCAGGGTGAAAAGCCCTTGCTGGTGCATGGTCATCATGAGCAGTTTTCTTAAAAATGTTTTGATAATATAAGTGACAAGGCAGCATGCTGATAGTACATACTCTTCAGCTTTGTTGTCTAGACATGTATTCCTCTGAACTAAGTGGTATTCTTAAATCTCTCAAGAACCAAAACTGTTGATGTCTGTGCAGACACTGGTGTAGACAAGGCTGCACTGTGAAGATGTAAAGAATGATACTCGTGGTGTCTTCATGTGTGCTTTTTTTTCTCGACACCCTCAATTAAAGTAGTATTGATAATAATAATTCTTCTGACATTTACGTCATAAGATTTGTCAGTTACTGCAGTCCCAGATATTTTCATGCATGCACCACATATAGGCTATATATGTGTATATCAAAAAGCAAGATGGAAAACTAGTTTGTGGGACTAATTTTTTAGTTTTACTTTGTTTTTACTCACAGGTAAACACTGCAAAGAAGCAATGTAATATGCAGGTTTCTCGGCTAACAGAAGAAATTTTGGCTCTTCAGATGGTAAGGAGTTGACTGATAAAAACATTTTTGATAGCAAAACATTTGAGACTTCTAGTTATTGCTAATCAAATAAAATACTATATTCCATTAAAAGGAAGCCTACTAACATGATTAATGAGTAACTGTGTAGGACAATACGATATTACTATAGAGCACAATGCATCCTGTATGTTTCCAGACATTAGTTCACAAACATTTTGTCAATGAGATCTGTGCTCTAGAAAATATTTTCTCTGTGATGGCATTTCTTAAGTATCCCTGTTTCTTTCAGGGATAAGCATAGAAAGCTGAGTTTTGCATATCTATAGATGAGTATGTAGAAATTAAGTATATGAAAGCTGATAAAGTATCCTAAGACAAAGTCTGTCCATCACAATCATTGTATTCTTGAATGAACCAGGAACTTATAATAAATTATGCAGGTGACCAAAAGAACTCAGTGCTTAATGCGCCTATTTATGCATTCAATTTATTTTTAAAAGGTTTCATTTTACGTTTCTTAATTTGTACATTGAATGATCCTATAGAGAAAATAACGAACAGGTAAATACAGTCAAATGCATACATAGCAGCAAGAACTGCATTTACAGGTTTGGTTTTGGCACTTCTTGAATTTTTACTTTGAATTATTAGATCTATTTAAAAATTACTTTTAAAAATAGGAATGTGGAGAAAAACAGAGTGAAATTGAACGAGCCATTAGAGAAAAGAGAGCAGTGGAAGAAGAACTTGAAAAGGTAAGGCAATTGTATGTATTTTTACATCACATTTAATATCTCTTTTCAGAAGGAAAAGTTATATTGATTTTTCCCATTTTCATGTGTTTTCCCCCTAATTTTCTTATTTTATTTTTTTAGTAGCTTTTCTTAATTGTAAATTTTCATGTAATTACTTTAAGGTTGGTTGGTTGGTTGTTTTTTTTTTAATCCAGAAAGTGTTTTAAAGCTGCAACACTAAACTGAAAAAGAATGTTCTTTGAAAAGTGTAAAAAAGTAAAAGAGAGAGATTTAGCATAATCTGAAAGAATACTGGTCCAGTTAAACTCAATAGACAGAAAACTAAATAAATGTCAGGTCAGATCTTTGAAAACTTTTTTTTTCAAGTAGCAGGAGCAGCACAGATACAATGACAGAAATTCAGTTTTGTTTTAAATCACTGGCAAATAGGATGCAATGAGGAGTAAGTAGCCTCCTTGTCAGTACTACACTGCCAGTCACCAGGGCAAGGTAAAGATGATCTTACATGTACATTTACTCTTCTTCAGATTTCGAGGGAAGACAGAGGGTATGAATCTAACAGTAGGAAACTAGAGCAGCTGTATCAGAAGTACTTACTTGCAGAAGCTGCAAAAGATGACCTTCAGCTAAGTCTACAGACAACACAAAATAAACTGAAACAACTGGAAATTAAGTAAGTGATGTTACAGAAATACAAGAGAAAGCCAGAGAAATTATTTCTGACAATTTAAATTATTGAATATGTGACAGGGTTTTGTCACATCTTTTTAATCAGTAGCAAACATAGTATCAAGATACCATAATTCTGAAGCATAATTCTGAAATCTAGTATTAGATTGATTTTATCAATTCCATCATCTTGATAAAATTCTTTGCTGACTTTTGCATAGTTCTAGCTGTCAAGCCCATTAAACATGTTGAGCTAATAAAAACTTTCAGAAGGAAATGGGGGAACAGCTGTACTGGGTCATACCAAAGACCTGCCCTGGTCTATATATTTTGTTCTCTAATTCAGTAGTTGTTCAGTTCTTGAGTTACAACAGGACTTTCCTTCTCTTTCAGCTCTGAGGAAGAGAAATCTCGTTGCCAGGAAGCTATCTGTAAATTGCAAAGCATTCTGGATTCAGAACGAGAAAAGAGTGCCTTTGTCAGTGAACAAAGACTAAAACTTCAGCAAGAGAATGAACAATTGCAAAAAGAAATAGAGGGTTTGAGAAAACTGGCAATAGAGGCTCAACAAAAAGCTAAAATAAAGGTATGCTTTATATGTTATTTTAATTGTAATGTAAAACTTATATTTGCTTAACAAGGCAGCAGTTCTAAGAGAAAATCATTAAGTGTTTAAATTAAGGTTAGAAGTTTCAATGGTGCTTCCTGGTTGCTGATTAAAAGTAGTTTTATTGTAGGATTGTGTCCTCAGAATCTGTTGGGTAACTCAGTCTCTGCTAATTAAATTGTATTTCAATGTGTATTAAATTCTCCTTCATAAGAAGACCCCAAGTATTCTTTGTTTTTTATAAGATGAATAGATTAAATAATATTGTAGTTCCAGATCTTCATTTATTTATTGTCTCTAATGTGTTAGAAATATCTCTCTGACTTTGAGCTCAGAGTGTTCCTCTACTTGTGTGTCCACCATGTTGCCAGGGCAGTGTGTAACTAATAAATAATTTAATAGAGTGGTTGTGAAACTTTTGTTCTGTATTTTCTGGACAGAGAACATTCTTCTATAAGAGTAGTTGCAAACAAGGTAATTAGCTGAAAGATGGTTGTTCTTTTTGAACATGTTCCATTAGGTGCACCTGAACAGACTGCATGTAGGATAATGAATCAGTAGTAACATCAGCAAATTCACGATACCTTTGGCTTCTGGAGAGAGGGAACAGCTTTGATCCTTGGTGTGCTTTCTGAACATATATAGCTGGTACTTTCCTCTCTGCAATGTAAAGATACTGAAAAGGGATCTAAGAATCTGCAGCAGTGAAGACAAACTCAGTAAGCAGTTTTCAAGTTATGAATGGGGACCATCTCAAATCTAGTCTCCACTTTGCACCACAAGATATAAAGGAAGCTGTCAAATTTAACAGGAAGTCTTGTCCAGCTCCAGAACCCTTTGCTCAAACATAGCTTAAAACCAAAGGATTAGAGTCTTGTAACAGATAGGCAGTGGTTATAAAGCATATACCAAATCTTTGTCTCATTTTAGTCAGACAGGCTTCCATTATAGTCACAAATAACATTTACTGCTTGCTTCTATTTCCCTCTGATGTACAAAGGATTTCAGATGCAGTTAAGAAACTCCTAACACATTTTAGCTAGATAAAAATGGAAGAATGTGTTTCTGTGGAGAAAACACAAGGGAGAAGGATAAAGATTGTTTACAAAAAATAAGCATACACAACTCATTATCCTTTATTGTCAATTATACTATTTGCTTAAATCAGCTTTGGGAACATGTATCTCTGAGCATCTAATTACAAGTGTAATTATTGTATGCTATATGCTTTCAACAAATATTTATAAATTTACCTCAAGCATTGTAAAACAAAACAAAAAAAGTAAAGAGTGAGAGATTTGATTGTACCCAATTTGTGCTTTTTTGTAGATAAGCACAATGGAGCATGAGCATGCTGTGAAAGAACATGGGTATGAAGCTCGACTCAAGGAAATGGAAGACACCAGTCACAAGTCCACTGCTGAGCTTCGATGTCTGTTAGTAGCTCAGCAAAAAGCAACCAACCAGTGGAAAGAAGAAACAAAAAATCTTACTGAAACTGCAGAAGCCAGGATCAGAAAGCTGAAGTAAGTGCAGTTTTGTTCCTCTTCTGCAAAGTGTTAGTGTTTTAGCTACTGTGTGGTATAGGGCAGTAGACCTGCCGTGAAAAACCAACTGGACTAGATGATGTGCTTCCAACAAAACAAGGAAGAATGATCTAAACAGAACTTTTGATGCTCTCTGTGAAGTTAGCACTGAAGTAAAAATTTCACATCTTGCTGATAATGTGTGAGTTTTTGTAATGACAAAATAAATGGAATGTATTACTTTTAATTTACTCTTTCAAGATACAGCACACTCAATTTAGAGAATTTTAGCCTTGGATTATGTAAACTTCTATACTTATTTCGAAAAGTCACCATAACATCAGTTGTGGAGTTAGTCTCCAGACTTCTAGAATAAACTGGACAAAAACCTATTGGCATACACATCTAATGTTCTATTCTGAGCAGTTGCTGTCATAATTGAAGATACAAATGGGTTGTGTGATTGTCCTAAGAAAAAATACGATATAAACTTTACTTTATCCTAGTTCATCTATGTTGCCAAGTAACTGGCTGATACTTGGATTTGCAGCACAGAATACAAGAATATTTTCAGTTTTGCAAGTTTGCCTTATGCTTTATTTCTTCTTAAGATCAGGAAACTCTGTCAGCTCAAGTAGACTATAAATTAGAGATGAGCCTGATATTTTTATAGAACTGGATAGAAGTTTATGTCCTCAAGATCTCTTCCCCTTCAAAATTGGTTGAAAGTTGGAAGAGATTGACAGACCAGTACACAGTAACTTCTAAACCAGGAAGCTTGATTTCATAAGTCTCACTTCTTTAAAATGTTTCGAGAAGAATATAACTTTGCATATATCATTATCGTTTAGGGTTTTGTGAAGAAAAATTAAGGATATGCCACTCTGTTAACTTTATAAATTTGAAACGACCCTTTAATCACTTAAAGCACAGGATGCAGTCTTGGATGGTTCATGGCTCAGATTGATTTTAGAAGCTGCTTACTATCATGTTAACAAGAAAGCAAAGCTTTTGCCCTATTAAAATTGGAATGCTACCTTTCATTTCCTTTAGAGTAATCTTGGGATATTTTTGTGTTTTATTATTATTATAAAGCTTTACATAGTCTCTGCTCAAACCATAATATTTCCAGTATCTCGTGCAATTTTTGGAGTCACAGTTTTTTAAGCGTAGCTTGGCATTTCTTGGCTGTCAGAATGCCAATGGTTTGAGTGGAATTAGAATCCAATTTTCTAAACATGAGCAAGGAAAATAAATTCCTGAAGATGTTGCCTACAAAAAATCTACCCTACCATTACTCCAACCTGGTTTTCCATCTTTGTAGAGAAGTATGTGGTCATCTTTACCTCTCCAAAGTAAACTGTTACAGGGTTTTTTTACCTTACCTATTCAGATATAGGCTGGCTTTATTTTCCCTTAAAATATACTGCATTTTGCCAATATCAAAGAACAATTCTTTAAAAAGGAAAAAGTCTCTTTCAGAGGAGACTCAGCATCAGTGTTGAGCATGTCTGCAAGGCACTGGGAGCTGTGCCTATTCACTGACAGTTTTAATAGCTTCACTGTATGTAATTAGCTGGCTCTTACTAATAGTTTTTTAACATCTTTTGTAAATGCTGCAGTAACTGGAGAAGAAAAGTATTTTGCAATGTTTCATGCTAAGGTGAATTTTAACTCTTAAACTTGTAGTTTATTTTCTGTAATCAAAATACAAAAACTCACAGTTGAGCCATCTGGATTCATAACTAGATCCTGAATGTAGTTCAGCAAGTTCTAATTAAAAGGGAAAAATTGCAGACTTTCACCCATTAAAGTTGTCTGTGAAACAGCTAACCTTTAATGTTAAGTGTTAAGTGTTAAAATGTTGTTACTGCAGACCAAAAAATTTAGACCTCAGTTATCTGCAGCAAAATGCTGACATAGAAAATACAACAGACATGACAGGAAGTCTGCTTTGTGAATTTGGATGTAAAATAGGTAGTAAATTTTGAAAATGTCCCTGTTTATATGACTTCAGTAGATATTTTAGTGCAAGTCTAAAAGCCAAGTTGATTACTTTTTAAGATGATTTTGCATGTTATGCTTTTTCATACTGTATAAGCTAGAAATAGAAGTTTTTATCAGGTATATGCTCTACCTTGCAAGGAAGCTGGCAGTAGGAACAGAAAGGTTGTCATTTAGACTGACATGAGGAATTTCATATTAAATCTGTGCAGTGATGCACTGATATTATTATGAGAAGTGGCCATAACAGAACCTATATGTATTATCTGGAAATACTAAAATTAGCCTACTTTTCACATTATATACATTAACAGATACTGAGTTATATAGTGTGGAATGCAGTTGGTATGAAAATTAGCTCCTGACTTACGCTCAACACGAAAGTCCTTGCTTGTAATATAAATGAGTACTTATCATTTTTTTTTAATCTTACCACAATAACAATTTGAGTATTTTGAGTGCAAGTGCAGAACAGCAAATCACTTCTTACTATGTTGTGAACTAAAATCAAGTTGCTGATTTTTTAAAAAGCAGAATGATTTTGCAGCAAATGCACTTATCAGAGAAATTTCAGTAAGAGCACTAAATACAGAACACTAAAACCAGACTGATACTGGTAATATATTAATTAATCTATTATTATTTAAAGGCTCTGTTTGAAAGTCCTCTTGAGGCTAATGAAGGAAATGGTCTCACCAAGTCTCCCAGTGGGGTCCAAGAGAACGGGGGATTCATGTAAATATATGAGCAAAGGCAGAGGTTGTGTTGGTGGCTTATAGCAGAATTTCAGTTTTTAACAAAAACACAATTTTAACAAAAATCATTACTCTCAAAGCATACTAATGTGTTTTATAACTGAGTGTTTTTCAGGAAGTTATAAACTTCCTAAGAAAGTCCTATCATTGTATACCAAGGAGGTAGTTTACATTTCACCAGGAGTTTGCCGTTGGTGCAGCTCTCATAAGCACTGAGTCAGTGTCCCATTTGTTAGTGTAGGTAGTTCCCGTTCCTTTACCTTAAATTCATGATCTCTTGGTGTTTCTCCACTTCTGTCCTCCTTGTTTTCATTTTCCATGTGAAGGAAACATTGTGGCTTCATTATTAAGTTCCCAGCAGCTGCTACTAACTTTTCCACATTGTGCTCCTCATTTGTCATCTTTTAAGTCTGGAAGTGTTCTGTTGGTGAGGTGTAATCCATATGTATGAAGGAGGTATTAAAGAAATAGTTCTAAGCAATGAAGAAACATCAGTGAATGTTAGGTGATTTTTGATTTTAAAAAAATTAAGAAGGAAAAGTAAATTTTGCAACCTGTAACAATAGAACAGAGTAATGATTTTGTAAATTAAATGAGAATCTAATAGATCCATGAAAAACCTGTAGATAAAAATGTTGTTAAGTTAACTGATAGTTCCAGGCTTCATTGAAAATTAGTCTGTGCTTCCCTGGACGTTTGGATCTCATTCAAGTTAAACATGATAAAGTTGCTGATAAAACTGAATTTGAAATTCAGAATCACTGCTGAAACAGTAGGCAATGCGTTGAACTTGTAGACTAAATTGCACCATTTTCTTCATAAAAATATATTATAGTCTTAATTTATGAGAAGTTTTCTTCCCTCTAAGCATTTTAAGATGCTTTATGCATCTTAAGGAGGATTTATTGGTAATAGACCTCACCTTCACCTTGCAGGAGGGCAAGGAACCGGTTTTGCTTCACTATCCTTGTGCCAAAGTCAGTCTTGAAGGTAAATGAGGTCAGTGCTGCTTGCAAAATGGATCGCGGTTCCATTGTAGATACTTCGAGTTCTAACTACATGTACTGAACATAGACAGCAAATATTTACAATTATAAAGTAGCAGCAAAATAGAGTGATTACAGTTAAAGGTTTTAAAAAAGGTAATCTTTCATATTCTTTATAGGGGTTTAAATGGAAAACAGAAGTAAAGAAATTTTATAAAACTATCAAACTTATTTCAAAATGTAATTTCATTCATAACACGAAAAGAGCTTTTAAGTCTTGGTGAATAATTTAACTATTGTATGTTCATTAGTTTAATAACTGATACTTGAGTTTCTATTTGATTTCTTATTTATTCTTCTCTCTATATAGCTGGAATGTTGTCCAAGTAATCTAAATAACCAAATTGGGAATGTTGTCTAATTAATCTAAATAACAAATCAGAACTAGATTTAATGTTGAAAATGTTATTTTGATCTTCGATGTCACTTCTATACCAATGTGTGTAGAATTTGATAAGAATTAGAAGTAATCCAAGTTGCTGTTGCTGATCTACAGGGTGTAGAGCTTCCAGTTGTAAAGTTGTAGGCTCTAAGATCAGTTTGAATGTTCCAAAAATTTAAGTTGCCTTTGACAACTGTGGTAAAAAATCTGTAGCAAGTGCTTCCAGCTTTTTACTTTTCTTGTCTTCATTTGAAAGAATTTACTTTTGAAAGAAGTGGGGAATACATGTGCAAGTTTTTACAGGCTCTGTAGTTCTTCAGACTTCAGCTGAGAAGAATAAATGACATCAGATAGAAAATGGAATCAGCAATAACAAAGGAACATTTAGGAAATCTGTAAATTGGAAGGAAACAAACTTCAGTAACGACAGAACACAGTACAGAATGAGAAGGGATGAGAGAGACAGTTCTAGCAAGAGAATGTAGGCAAAACTAGAGTAATTCAATCTGCCAGCATTTGCTCAAAGAAAATAAAGTGCCCATACTGTATGCAGGTTTTAAAAATAAGGGTAGATTATTCATTCATTCTGTAAAGTCTTCCCTGACCGGTCTGTGCTAAAATGAATGCACAAATACAATAGATGGTTAATCCCATCTAATTGGCATATCAATGTTTTCCATAGATTTTTATGTCCTAATCCTGAGAATGAAGTAAGAATTGGGGTAAATAGAGAGGGAATTTTGCAGATAACCAGATAAACTCTTACCAGACTCTGCACCAGTGGCCAACACCATGAGCTTATTTTTGTTGAACATGATTCTGTTTGGAGCAGGCATCAGGATAAGATTCGCTTGGATAAGCAAAGTGTCATACTGAATCAAATAACTGAATTATCCATAGAATGCACTTCATTGGAGTAGATCTGGAAAACTGCAGACAGAGAAAAAGGTAGGTCTTCTAACTTGAAAACTTGACAGGGCATTGACAGTTTTCTCAGCTCTGCCATGAATATTGCTTTGGCCTGTCAGACGTGGATGTTTGCTTGGTTAAGGTACGGTTTAGCTTGAATTGGGTAGAAATAGGTATGCACAGGTCTGTTCTTCTACGAAACAGTACATGAAACAATTCATAAACATTACCTTAAATGATAAAGATGATAAGTGTACTTCCATGTAACATTTGAGGAGTTTTAAAAATCTGAACTCTTTAAATAAAAATGTAATAAAATGTAATAATAATACATAGTATGAATTAGTAAATTAATAATCTTACCCATCTGCCATTATGTCTAGTAGATTCAGCTTTTTGGGGGAAAAAACCAAAAATACTTGTTGTAGTATAAATCCATTATATTTGAATAACTATACTGAATGGCTTAATTTTTTTAATATTCAATTGAATTATTATTGTCAGTACTTAAAAAAAAGGAATCCTTGCCATATTGTTTTTAAATTGAAATACTTAGCTTAAGTGGTCTGATTGCAGCTATTTTGGGTGTCTGTGTTCGCGTTTCTGCCTCTCACACATTTCTGTGTCATAGTTGGGAATCCCTGTAGCCATGTGTGGGGTTTGGAGTTCTCAGTTTTATCTCTTTTGTAATTGAAAAGAATCTGCCTCTGAGCAATGACCTTTTTTGGTGGCAGTGTATGAAATGTAGAGTACATGCAGTGAATTGCACAGCATTTGAGATGAAGAAGTTTCCTCCATTTCTAAAACATTACTCTTGGCTGCACTTGTGTAATGTTTGGCAGCTGTAGCTGCTTATTTTAAATTGTTCATTAAAGAAAAAAATTAGCAGGGTAAGAGACAGATGCAGGTACTGGCAGTATACAAAATTCGTAATTACTAAGAGTAACTGAATCATATTATAGTATAATTCAACCAAAAAAAACCCAGCTGGCACATGCTATATTTATCATGAGAGCTTTGCAGAAAGTACTTGCTGCAGCTGGTGGATTTATCACCTGTCTGCCAAAATGCTAAAAGCTCACCTTTTGTTTCCTACTCACTTGTAGACAATGTACAGTGGGGGCTGATTTAATTATTCAGCAGTTGGGGGGTTATTGCTCAATTCTAATATTGAGATCTCATAATGTGTATTTGGGGAGGGTTAACACTCAGAATGAATCAACTGTCTGGCTCAATAGGCATCACATTTCCTTATGCTTACAAGGTTAAACTGTTTTCTTTAAATATGTGTTCAGTGTGATCTCATTATAAATATAATTCCTTGACCACAGCTGTATATGAGCATGTAAAACTGTTTATGGGCTGTGCTGCTAAGCATGCTAATTCCATACTCAAGTGCAAGCATAGGAGACAGACTGTTTTCAGTAATGAAGAATTTTTAGGCGCCTTAAAATTGGTCTCCTATATTGAAAATGCCTCATCTTGATGCTTGATATTGATCATGGAGGACAAATTGCAATAGTGTTACATATTAACATATTCTCTTGATCCTGCAGTCTTAATCCATCTGTAATTCTTACTTTATATGAAAGTGTTCACATGTGGTAACACAGGCAGATATTTAAATCCTGTTAAACAGTTAAAATTATATAGAGATTATACCTATGTACTTTTATTTTTATGAAAGTTAAAAGTTGTTGAGCCGTTTTTGTGATATCTACCTGGGATTGGTGAATGGGGTTGGTGGAGAACAGGGGAGTGGAAACTACTCACCTGGTACAGTGGTGACCTGATGTGACAAATACATTGCAACCTTGTATTGCAAGTGCTGTATATCAAGTTTTCAAACTTCTATGAAATACTAGGTTTAAAAGTTTATGAGTAAATTGCTGAGAACTAAGTGTCATCATTAAAATATCAGAGGCTTTTTAAGATTAAGATCTGAGGCTAAAGTATCTTCTACTTTACCCCCATTCCCTCAAAAAGAATAAATGCTTTAGGTTCCATTACAGTACCTGTAGTTTTGGTAGAGCATCTAAAGGTGAGGTAGTGGAGTAGAGACTGGTCAAAGGTTAGATCAGTTCAGTTTTGCACCTTCCTCTGGCTAAAATTACCAAAGTTTCATCTTTAGTCATCCCTCTTCTTCTGTGCCTTGTGATGACAGGAGGCAAGGACTGTTTCCTTTAAGCACTAGGTCAAAGATGTCTGTCATAACCCAGATGGTTTTTGTCTTCAATACTATGCAAATTGAGGATCACTAAAACTCATTCAGTATAAAAGTAAAAAGACTGCTTTGAAGTAGGTGGTATTTTCCTTTTCCTCATGAAGTGTCACATTGTTGTCTGTCTCACAAGTATAGAATGATTTATTTTCAGGTACTTCAAAGCACCTTTAAAATGCCCACGTTGAAGTCTGGTAAAGAAACACCAATTAGAATGTTAATCTCAATATTGAATGCACTGTGCAAATGCAGCTTATATTTACTACATACTAGATATCATGCCTCCGAAATAAGATTCAATAAACAGAAATAAAACCCTGTAAAATGTCAAGTGCTCTTGACAAACTCCTGCTGATTCCAACAAATACATTTCATTCCTCTGCCATTACAGTTTTGAATACACAGCATGAAGAAGTGATGTGTGGTGCTTTTGAAATCAGTGTTTTAAGAGCAACCCTGTAATTAAAATCCACTATAAGCCCCTACAATGCAACGAAGGACCTATGAAATTATGTTCCAATAACTGAAGTACTACTGTGTGCTAATCAGCATCTTTTCTTCTGATTCATAGAAGTGAGCTGTGTCAACAAAAACTTCGTAGCCAGGAGCTCATTTCCCAGCTGGAAATAGCAAATGAGAAGGTAACTGAGGTAAGATAATGACTGATGTGACAGCTACTTTCAGTTACAACCTGATGTGTGTACACTTGGATCTTAAAAAAAACCTGTTTAGGTGAGTTATGTTGCTGGTTTAGAGAAAATTAAGGATATTTGACAGGGATAGTCAGTAATAATTGGAAAACTTCACTGTTTCTGCTGACTGACATGTTCAAACGGCAGGAAGACAAATGAACTTTACTCTCAAATTACCAAAGTTAAAGGAGAGATCATCTTTAAGGTGACTAATTTAGACAATTCAGGAAGTGTTTCTGAACTTACTTATGCCTGTGGATTCATGCAAGCCTCTAAACAGAAGCAGGCATTGACATTGTGGATAATGTGGCATAGACAGAGATACCAAGTTCTCCACATGCTATGTGGACAGTGGAATTTACCTTCTGTGTCCATATATGCATATAGCAAAGGTATTATCCCTTAAAGATTAAGGACAGGGTTGTTTTGGAATGTGCATTGTTCAATAATTAAGGTCCACTTTAAAAAAGGACTTTCCTGTCAGCCTCATAAATCTGGGAAAACATCCAGTTCTACCCAGGATAAGTCCTTCTATCTTGTTTTTTGTAGTGCTGTGTTACTTAGAGGAGAAAATTGGGTCTGATGCAAGAATAGATTTCTTTGAGTAAACGCTGGTTAAGAAAGGCTTTGTGCGGACCCTTTGAAGAGAACAGAGGAGGTCTGTAGCAGGTTTATCAGCCCATTTGTATTATCTAGTATATTCCTTTTCCTTTTGAGTATAGCTAAAACATTTACATGTTTTACCTTACATGACAAGGTTGCGTGAATTAAATTACTTGAATTAAAATGTCAGCTTTTATGCATCTTGCTTCAAGATGGTGAAATGAGTAAAACTTCCCCTGCAAATTAGTCTGAGTGGAAAAGTCACGTCATGTCATATCTGAGCTGGAAATTCTCTATAATGTGTCAGCAGTTTGTCTTCAGGATTACTGTAAAGGGAAAACATTTCCACTTCTGACATTCCTTTGTGTTAAGCTTTTTTGCTGCAGTATGTGTGGATTCAGTGAAAAGAACTTGGCATTGGTAATGAGATATTCCATTTACATAGGATGAGACATTAAAGATGGAATATCGTGAATACATCGATAGGCTCCAAAGACGACTGAGCCAGGCAGAACAGAGGGCAGCCACAGCATCTCAACAGGTACACAACTCACAGAAAATGTTATCTAAGCACATTGAATACAAAAAGCACAGAAGTACTCACTTTGCATCATTCCTGAGGCAGAGATGATCATTTACGTGCATTATTACTAATATAATTTTAACAACAAACTTGTATTTTGAATGTGTTGCCTTCTGACAGGATGCCTATGTGACAGTGTAGGTTTGTTTATGGAAACCAGTTTGATATGAATTAAACTTTAAAATGTGTTAATGAAGGTGTACGATCATTTCCAGCTTCAGAAATGGCAGCAAGCTAGCAAAGACAAAAGAAACCCTTTCACTAACTGCAGCTCCTGTTTGCACAGAGCAGGTTGTTTATCTGTTGAAGAACACCCCACTGCAGTTACCATCAGCTACGTGTAACAGCTGCAATAACTCCTGCAGTGACAAAAATACTGAAAATTGTGCAGACAGAATAGGAAATGCTTGTTTTTTTCCAGGCCATGGGAAGAGGGAAAAGAGAGGTGGTGTATATGTATGTCACCTTAATTTTTCCATACTCTTTAAGCTATACAACTCTAAACAAATCCCCTGGATGTTTATACCCTGGGATCACTTATTTTCCAAGGAGGTTAATTACTCAAGTTGGCCTCCTGTTAAGTAAAGATGGTCTTTTTGCCTCCCACGTTTTTTTACAGTGATTTAGGAAACTGATTTGCAAATTATAACTTGTTAATATGGGTGACCCCATGTGAGCTGCAGAGAGAAAATATTTTACTGACCTAAATTGTCCAGTTTTAGGACAAATGGCATTTTTTTCTCAACAGGAGAGAATAAGAGGGCATAGCTGCCAAGCCGTAATAACATAAGCTATGGTTCCTGGCTCTAAATGCTCTCTGTCATGACAAGGTCTACTCAGCTGCTGAAGATTTGCTCTGAAAGAGTAATTTATTTATTTATTTAACCTCGTGTTTGTTATAGGGATCTGTTCAGCTCTCATACTTCTGGGATGCTGTCTTCCTATAAAAAAACCAAACATGGTCATGTCACATTTCAAGGGAGTAAACTTGTGGCCTCCGTGCCCATAGAGAAAGAGGTCCTGCTGTTCCAGCAAAGATTGGTAGTTAGCTGTTCCTCACCAGGCTCCCTCTGAAAGGTAACAAAGAGATTTGATAGACGTTCAGCAGCTGAACTGTTGCCCATATCTTGTTGCCAGAGTTCAGAATTGCCTTGACATCTTCAAGCTTGACAGAGGTCAAGCTTGAAGCTTGCTGTCAGCTGTCAGGCCTGGCTGCTCTGTAATGACCTCAGAACTGCTGTGCCAAGCCCCAAGAAAAGACATACCAGCAGTGTCCTACTAAAGTCTGGAGAAAGAGGTCTCCGGGAGTAGTGTTGCAAGAATGTCCACTCTTCTGAATCTGGGTATTCTCGTCCAGGTCTCCAAACACTGAATGTTTGTGTGTGTGTTCCCTCAGATTCAGAATGGGATTCTCTGTATCCTCAATCTGTAGGCTGAGGGCTGCTTTCTGACTTAATTGTGTGTTCTCATTATATTATCCAGCTTACTTGTAAAATTAAATCGAATATAGGTTAGAGGTGGACTACTAGGGAGCCTAGAAATTACACTGTTATTGTGGACAGTTCAATTACTCTAAATTTTAGCTTATTCTCAAATAATAGTAATTCAACAAGAAACATAAAAAATACAGGATAATGGCTGCATAGGTTTAAAACATGTCTATTCTGTAGGTGTTCTTTAAAGTCTACTCCTGATACCTGATCTTTCATCATCTTGAATTCTTTGGAACCTAAAATAAGATAAAAGCAGTAGTCATCTATAGAGCACATTGTAAATTCTCTTGTTTATCCCAAATTCCCATTTATCTGTGCTTGTTCTCTCTCCTTTGTAACACCTTCAATATAGAAGTTCTACTGTTACTTTGATCCTACAAAGAATTATTAAGAAACTGTTTGCTTGTGTTTCATTACAGCTCAGCCTGATAACTACACAGAATAAAAAAGCTGCTTCTCTGAAGGATCTGGAAAATATTTAAATGTATGTATTGCTCATTCACCATACTGGAGTTAAGAAGATTGCTGGAGAAACTTCATATTGGAGCAATAAAGTAAAATACACAACAAGGCTTGTAAAACTTAAACATTCTCTGGTTTATTCCGGTAAGAAAGGGAGTGGATGAAGGTCCTGTTTCTGTATGCACAATAAAGATTGGAAGAAGAATGCAGAATGTTGTTGGTAAAGTCCTTTAATATAGCAGATGAAAAAATCTGACACAATGCTGTGGCATGTTTGGGTTTTTTGGTCTAAAATGTACCAGCTATGACAAGATTGTGTACAGAGAGTAGGTAACACTTATACTGAAATTCATCTTGGCTTTGGTCATGTACAGTCAATACCTTTAATTTTTCTTTATAGTGCAGTAACTTGGGAACAATTTAAAGATCCTTTATGAGCCGTAGCAAGACTAATTACATAACAAATGCCAAATAGTTGCTTGTTTTGTGGTCAGTGTTTGAGCTGCAAGATGCCTCCATTGCCTTCCAGTTTTAAGAATTTTGTTCCGTTTGGTCTGGTGCCCCTGGCATACAGGTAGTAACTAAAATGCTGTCATGGCTCCTCAGACAGCTCATTTCTAAGGACTGTAATATTTCTGCAGTTGTATTTTTTCTTCCTAATTACTATTTTGCAATTACTTTACAATTCCTTGCTTTTCTGTTGATCTGCTCCCTTGGTTTGTATGTGTCTGGGAACATCCATTCTCTGACTTCAGTTTGCACAAAGGTGACATCATCCAGCTTTTATGCCTTTTAAAATAGGGGGATTGAATTCTACAGATGCCAGTATGTGGGATTCCTCTTGTCTACGTGTTTTTCCTTGATAGTTGAGAAACTTCATATCTATCATTCTAAAATCAGAGCCGAACTCAATTTTCTCTTTCAGCACATATTATAAGCACTTGATAGGTGTTAACTGATTTTGAAATACTCCGATCTTAGCCTTAAGTGACATAATTTCTTGTCCTTCCTCTTGAATGTCAAGAGTATAATTTTGCTTTCTAACTTCTAGTTCCGTTGATGGGTAGTGCTTACCCAAAACTGCTGGTTTGGACTAACAAACCTGTATGATCATGGCAGTGGATCTTCACCATATTTGTATTTTAAAAACGCAGAGCTGGGTTGATCAGCTCAAGACTTTGTGCCACCTCCTGAAACCCTGGCTGTGCAGGTAGAGCCTGCAAGATAGATGCAACTTCAGGAACAATTCCTTCTTACTGCAAGGGGAAGTCACTAGTTCCTACAGTGGTACGTGTCTTTACTAGTGCTTTTTTCATTTGATATAAACCCGTACTCGTTGCAATCTAATTTTGCTAAAATGATATTGAAGATTCTTCAAAGTGACATGGATACACTGTTCAAAAGCTCCAGAATTCTGTAGAGGTCAAGTTTCATTAATCAGCCATGTGTATGATACAGAGGGAGGCAAGTACCAAGCACCTTATTTTCATTTCCATAATGCACAGCTGAGATGATGACCAACCACCTGGGAGATTCTGTGTGAGCTATTAATCCCCTTCACTCCTCTAAGACAGGCTCTGGCTGTGAAGTGAAGGCTGGCTGGAAGCATCAGGCAAGCCTGAGTATTTGTTTTTGTTCTTCAGGGCACAGAAGGGCACCTGTGTGGTTCCTCATTAATTATGGATACATTCTAGCTCTTGTGTGATGGCTGTTTGCCAGAACAGAAATTGCAGTGATGACACAAGCACCTAATAGTGAAGTTAAGGGGCAGGAGAGCAATTACAGCACATGACACAGGAAAGGAGAAGGTCTGCCTAATCCTCTGAGCAGCTAAAAACAGACCAAATGCATTTGGCTGAACCACGAGCAGGAATGTGGTCACATGGAGCTCATCGTACTACCACCAACTCCTGTCATTTTCCTTCGGTGTCTAAAGGAGACTGCTTGCATGTTGTTCCCAAGTTGGGCATTCAGAGGAAAGGCAATTGCTAAGGCAATTAAAACTTGAGACTTGCTAGTTAGGTAAGTTTTGCTCCTTTCCTTGATATGCTTCATGGCATGGAGCTTTTCATTTAGCTGTCCTGGTTGTTTTACATTTGTTTCTAGCTGCGTATTTCTTGTCCCTCTTCCATTGGAAAGTTTGTTTCTGCAAACTTCCTTTCTCCACCCCCGTCAGCAGGTTTTGAGTAATTTAAAGATTCCTTACTTAGTGTGATAGTACTGCCTCCCATTGACTAAAAATGTTTTTGACTATTTAGGAAACACTTCTAGGTGATCAGATTCTTTGCATTCAACAGGTGAGATTTCATTTTGCATCTTCCCAAGAGCCCTACCCCTTGTGAAACAGGCCAGACAGTGAAAGATCTATCACTGGTGTTTTTCAAGATGCATTGCTAGATGTGAGCCTTTACAGCCTTGTCCTTTTCTTGCTCTGCTCCAAGTCCATTCTGCATTTCTGTATCTTGAGTTTAGAGGAATCCTCATCTTCTAGAAATCCTGCTATAGCAGGATATCTCCAGGCAATTCAGAATGTGAAATGAACATTCAGCCTAATTATCCTGAAAATCCACAGGTACGAAACCTGGTGTGCCTCTTCCAGTGGAACATGAATGAAGATTATGGACTTTGGAAAGACATCACAGATCAACAAATTTAAACATTTTGAGGTAAGCAACATCTCTTGAAGGATCTAAAGGGGAAAAAAAAAGTGTTCTGTTGATGGGATGGGCACAGCTATCAGTAAGAAGTAGTCCTTAAAAAAAAAAAACAACTAAAAAAATCTTGCAACTGCAGTCTGCATTGTGATATCTGTACTAATCCAAATTAAGTGCTTGTTTTAACCATGAAAGTTGTTGACATCACTGTAGTGAAATGTTTCTGTCAGAACCCAAAGAAGAATACTGAGAAGTCTAAAACACTGCTGGCAAGGATATTGCAAAAATGTACAGCATTTATTCACATACAGACAAAGGCACAGTTCTACCAAATATTTTAACAAAAAATACAGCTGTCTTCACCTAGGTCTTTAGAAATACTTCCGAAAAGGGAGAAAATAAATACAGGATCGGGCCATGTCATATAAAATAGTCATTTCTACATATACTTTTTATTTCTATCTGTTTCTCTTCATGCACCTTTTTTTAAATTAATTTCAGCTGAAGGGACACCCAAACTAGGCACATAGTGAAAAATCTTCTGTACAAGTTTTTCAAATATAATGACAATTTTCTTAGATTTCTGAAATTAGGATTTATACACAACACACAGAACCCTTCATTTACATTTGTCTGAGTTTATAACCTAACAAATGGCATTCCAGGCAACTTTACAGACATTCAACTAGCCTACAGCTTGACAGAACACACTGATCACATCAAAGATCTCTTGGTCAGTCTGCAGAAGGAAAGGGAACGCTTGAAAACAGAAATCCAGCAAATCCCAATAAAACACAGAGGTGGGTTTGTACTATAACTGCAGTACTTAAAACACCTTCTGCTGAGAGCTAAGTATGGAGACAAAACCAACCTATGGAGATGGTCGTAACCACAGCTGGCTCACAGCCTTTTCAGTTTTCGTTCAACTCAACTGGAAACATTACAAAGCTTTTTACCCTAAATGTAAGGGGATAAAACAGGTAAGGCATTAACTCTGCATTCATAATAGTGCAAATTAACAAGGTACCTCTGTCCAACTGGTGTGAGGTTAAAGGTTTACTCAGAATCCAAATTTAGGTTACTCCATCTATGGCTTGACAATTCTCATGTGATTATGAGCTGCTTGCTTACAGCAGCCTATCTGTCAGTGCCTGTCTAGAGAACATTGCTGGATGTTGAGTAGAACTTACCTGCTTTTACCTCTTGTCTGCTGTTTGTACTTTGAACACATCCCAAGAGTGATTATGTAACCTCAGGCACCAGTGCCCTGCCTGACTTTCACCTTTGCAAGTCACATAATTAGTCTGACAACTTGGGACCAGCAACAGGAATTTAGACGTACATAAAATTCCCCTTCCTCAAAAGGTTAAGACTTCTGAGTTTTAAACAGTAATAGAGATGCATTCTGCTGAAATATTTACTTGATAATGATAACTTGCATAGAAAGGGTGTTAATAAGCCTTTTTTATTTTCTGATTGAATCCTCTGGAAGACTCAGTTATGGCAGAGGAATTCTGTGTTGTCAAGTGTTCCCTGCACAGGAGGCAAGGGTCTGACATTCCGAAGTGAGTGGACACTGTAACAGCAGGCTTGGAGTGGGAAAGGGGAGAAGGAGGTTCTTTGCACCTTTCATTGCTGCTAAAACTTTTTCACCAGTACATACCTGTCTTACATCTATGCAGAATTCCAAAATCTACAGGCTCCTAACAGTCCACTGTGCTGTGTGCGCTCTACTTGGTACAAAATGGTGTCCTCACAACCTGTTAATATTATTGCTGACAGCTTAATAATTATTGCCATTTGCAATTATTAAAAAAGTACACAATCAGAACATGAGTTCCCTCTTCCATCAAATCTAGTCCAGAATAGAACGAAATAATTTTTCTTCATTTGACTGTAAAGAGCTAATCACAGTTTATTGCCTTTGCATTTTATTCTATTTAAAAATATATATTCATGTCCATTTAAAGCAATCTTTTCAGTGTCATTAGCCTGGCTTTCCCAGTACATACTATTAGTGCATCTGTGGTGGCCTTTGGGAAATTCTCCTGACTAGTGCTTTAGGAAACTTCTGTCTTGAATTGTCATCACAAGCCCAGAGGACAGTGACTGACTAACAGTGAAGGATTATTCCATGGGGTGCTGGAACCCACAAACCTGCCCCTTGCTCAGAACTGAGCCAGCTGGGAGCATCGTCTGTGCTTGGTCTGAGTCTTTCCAGCCCTGCCCTGTCCCTTCCTCCTTCTCTGGTACAACATCATGTCTACTCCTGGTCATCATTTCCATGTAAACTCTGGAGCATACAGAGGGGTTTGAGCTGCACCTGTGCTCAAACTGAATGCAACAAACACATTCTGCAAAGAGAGGAGAAAGAGCTGCCACCATCCAAGGACAGTGACCATTTGTAATGGGATTTAGCAGTGCAGTGCAGTATGGTCTAACAACCATCTTCCATTCAATACATGAGTTAAATTAAGAGCTTGTGCTTTTTCAGAAGGCAGGGGAAGGAAGTAAAATTTTCAGTACCTTGTAGCTAAAAGGGATGAATGCAGCCTGATTCCTCCTACCCACCCTAGCCCCTTCTAAAAGATTTCTGTGAGTTATTTTACTGTTCATCCCAAATCCTATTTAAGTAGTGATGACATTTCTCTCTTACTCAGGAAAGTTGCAAATAAAAGAGACTCAAACTTCATTTCTGTGAGAGAAATGGAGGTAAGGGAGTGAGGGGATGGAGCAGAGCAAAAAACAAAAAGCTTAAAACAGCTTTAAGTGCATGTAAACATATTTAAAACAACTCAGAAAGAATGGGTTATTGTCAGTCTGTAGCCATGTCTAAGAATGCTCCTCTCTCGCACCAATGAATAAACATGGAGTTGGCTTGTAGGCGGTGACTCTACTGACACTGTCTCCCTGTGTCCAGTCAGGATGCCAGGATGCTTCTCCTAATAATGTCTGTCCTCCTGCTGATAGTGCTGTTTGGACTGAGCCTCTGCTGCCTGCACTTTTTTTCAACCACTTCAGTCTCCGAGTCGCTCATTTCAGCATCAGGGACATATCCATCATTCTCACTGTCAGGCTTTAACTTCCTTTTTGTCCTGTCCTTCGGCGGAACTCTGCCCATGCCCATGTAGGGGTAGCTGGAGTTCTGGCAGCAGGACTCCTCCAGGTTTTCACCCTGCTGCTGCCTCTCTCCCTTCTTTGGAATTCGGAATCCACCCCAGTTTTTCACTGGGGTCGTGGGCGTTGTAGGCACTTTAACTACTCTCTGATTAGAGTTTACTTTGATGAGACCCCCATTGCATTTAGGCACTATATCCCTCCCAGTGCCAGGTTCTGACCTGCCACTGGAGTGGTTCGCAGCCCTTTTGTTTTCTGATTGCCTCTGAGAGAGTTCTGTGGGTCTCAGTGGTTTGTGGTTGTGTTTAGAAGTCTTTTCTTTTAGTTCTGCCTTGGCCACCTCGGACTGTGAGCGACTGTCTCTCCTCTTCCTGTGGTCTGGTATAACTATATCATTTTTCTGCTGTGCTGACACAAACCGTGTTTCTGCAAAGGTCTTGTCAAAATTTAAAAAGCTACCTGAAGCAGCACTGCCTTCCCTCGGGCTGGGCTGCCTCAGCAGGGATTTGCTGTCATTCCCAGACCTGTCTCTCTTTTGCAATTTTTTCAAGGAGTGGGTTAGAGATGTGCCCATCTGTTTCCTGAAGAATGCAGAATGCCACTTCAGATCCTCGATCTTAGGGGCATTGGGGCCCAAAGATGGACTGTTGAACAACACTGTGTTTTCCACTGAAGAGAATGAGGAAGGCACACCTGAATGCAAACAAATTAAATTCAAGTCATGCAATTCCATATCTGTGTAAATAGCAGTTTTGAACAGCAGTTCCTCATACCTGACTTCCATATCAGAAATAGGTATTTAGTTGCCTGTCATGCACCTTTACACCACAGCTCCATAGGTATGTTATGGTTTCACCACATCCTGCTGGTGTAGCTTGTTTTCCTGTAGCCAAGCTGCACCTTATTACACTTGTAGCAAATACAAGTCATAGCATTACTCTATCCACTAAGACAGAGATGCTTCTCAGAGAGGAAGGCAAAAAGCAACCAGCAAGTGGATCTCACTGATTCCATCTAAAATATCGTTTATTAGTTACTGAATACTTAAGGGATAATCTAGTCACTGCAGTTAATTTTGAAGGTATTAATCTTTCTGAGAAAAGACTGTCAATAAGATTAGGCATAAAAAAGCCACGGCCTTAGAAAAACAGAGTGCTATCTTTTCATGTCTTTAAACTGCCATGGATGCTGCAGAGCAGCACATGCTAATGCAGTGGCACTAACAAACCACAGTGGCACTAACAAACCACAGCCTTGCATGGTGCCATATGGCCCCTGAATGTGAGTCATGGTCTCCCTGTCCTAAGGAATCATTAAAGCATCACACCAGCAAGGAGCAGAAGCAGCAACCCAGGATATGGATATGGACAGACACAGCAGTTCCTACAACAATGTGCCCACCATTCCAGCTACACGCATTCTCATTCCTCCTCCTGATGCATGGTGAACTCCACCACATTTTAATGAGAACAAATGAGGTCCTGTTTGTCCTTCACAATCAGCTGTCACCCTGTAAGCAAACCTTGTGCCTGTGCTCTCACATGAAGAGAACACTGAAGCATACCTGAAACTCTTTCTTGTTCCAACTGCTTGGCGTAGCTATTAAATATCTGTTCTTGAACTTTGCAAACAGATCTCTTGATTTTTTCCCTCCGTGTCACCATGTAAGTGAGGTTACGCACCTGGAAGGCAGCAAGTCAATGAGTTTTACAGGAATTATGTTTCTATGATGTTGTCTATCTGTGCTTTGAATTAATTCAGTTGAAGTACTATACACCATTTAAACAAGTTAGTAATGTATTTAAATTTAACCACCTTCAACACATTTCTTAGAAAAGAGTCTTAAATACCATTTAACTGACAGAATATTCTATCAGATTTGGAGGGCTGCAGCACAGAACTAACTTCTATGAACACCTAAATCACACACACATGAAACTTAAACAAATGTTGGAAATCCTTAAATGTACTCAAATATTAAATATTTCCCAGATGAGGGAATCACCGAATAGTACACATGGATGATTCCAAGGCTTCTCACTCAGTTCAGCTGCATACATTGTGGTGCCCTGTGAACCTTGCAGGCTGATCTCAATAAATGTAAAAAGTGTAACTGTTTTTGTAGAAGTCTCTTTTTTAAAAAATCCAAATTATCTTGGGGGTACAATCAGCAGAAACACAGAGTAGTAAAATACTAAAAATACTACAAAACTCATGTATCTTGTTTTGATATCACATGTAGAAATGGAAAGGATACATACAGAATAATTTAAGATCCAGAGAACATAGTTACAAACTCTTAATTATTTAGCAGATCAAAGAGAGGATGAAAAGAAATCTTGAGCACATGGAGCAGGAACAAAAGATCCCAGGTAACAACTAAGATCTTATTGAACTAGAGAAGGCCCATAGGCTGGAGTTGAAACTAGAAAATACTCAGAAGAACTGCAGCAATGACAAGAGTAAGTCATCAGGATCCTTTACAAAGGATGCAGTAGATGCATAAGCACCTGCTGTCTTGATTTAAAGATTAGACAGTATTCTGGAAGAAAGGCTCTCGTTCACCTACAGGTTACTGAGTAGGACTCATGCTTGTAGGGATGTGAAAAACTGATTTCAGTACTTTTTCTGTCTCCTCTAACAGCTCTTAAATTCTACTAGTTAACCAGAAAAGGAAGGAATTTGGGTCATTACAGGACTAGATGTACTTAAAACACCAAAATGATCCTACTGAACTGTTCTTTAAACATTCAAAACCTAAATGACTCGAACATAATTTGCCTCTCAAACCTACTACACAGATTGTCCAGGGAAACGTCATCTTACTCTGCTGTGCCAATGAAAACCAGATCTGCTGCAAATCAATAATCTTTTCCTTCTTGTGCACCAGCTGAAAGGAACGTGAAAGGAATGTGCCCTTAAAGGCAAAGAAGGCTCCAGCTGAGGGCTGCAGTGCAGTCCACAGCCATCAGTGTTAATCAGTAAAAAAGCACTAAAAAAACCATCAGTAACAAATCACAAAAAAAACCAAAAAATCCAACAGTCTACCTGTAGGAGACTGAATACCACAAGCCAAGACCTGCTGGCCCCTGACCCTTGGTGTGCAAAGGGTAACTGCTATGCTCTGGAGAAATTCAGTGTTAATGGTATTTTCTGACAAGGCAGCATGAGGTGCCCTGCTCACACAGGCCATCACCAGGAGAGTAATTTGGCATCTTGGCCAACTCTAGCTGGCACAGGTGATGTTGTGTCTTACCCGCTCCAGGTCCTGACGGAGGTGTGTGAAGAGCTGCAGCCTTCGGAACAGAACATCCTGTTCCCGTTTAGCCAGATTGTCCTCTTCATCCTTCTTTGGGGTAATCAAAGGTTTATTGAAGTTGGCTTTTCTCTTCAGCTTCCAGTACTGGTAAAGAAATTCTACCGGCTCCTCAGGTAGCTGCAGCACTTTAGCCACTTCCAAAGACTCAACAAACGTATAGAACTCATCCTCCAGCTGCTGGAGCTTTTGCTTGCGAAGGCTGACTCTGTGGGCCTCCTCCTGGTTTTGATCCATGCTGTGGAAAGGGTCAATGCAGGCAGGAAGAGAGCTGTCCTGAATTCCCTTCTCCTGACCTGGGCTTTTATTTGAAATCTCATCATCAGCTTTCTTGGTGGAACTGTGCTTGGGACAGTATGACTTGAACTTCACTTCGTCATTCTCTGCCAATATCGTCTTCATCTCCAAGCCACGGTCAAATGCACAGGTGACGTGAAAGGCTGTTCTGCAGTTCTTCACTGAACACTACAGAAATTAAAGTTAAACAAATAAAGTTAAGAAGCCACACTGCCTAAAACTATTCAAGGAGCCAGGGCTGCTTTGGAAGAAGAATGCTGTTACCATGTTCTGCTTCTAAGCTGCACATACTTCCTTATTCCTTTTTAGTTAGGTTTATGATTTAGTGCTTTCAGGTCAGGAAAGGATCAAGTGGCCCACAGGGACAGGAGTGGTTAACCTCTCACAGCCCCATCATGCTATTCCATAACCAGCAAAGCCACAAAAGGAGCGTTCCTACTGACACCAGAGCCACTCGTCTACGGCAGTGTTACCCAAAGGAAAGTGTTCCCCCTTGGACTGTGCCAGTATGAGGGGGGGAAATATCTTGGTGGCTACAGGCCAGTCTGAGACTTTTAATTAAAAGTCCTTCCTAGCACCTTTTGCTACACAAAAGGCCTCAACTGAGAGGCATTTTTTTTCTGCTGTTATGAGGAGGAGAATAGGAAATTCAATTTTTTGTCATTTTTCTTGCCTCCCAGTGAACCCAGCCATCATGGAGTGATGGGCACTAATTCACCTGATTTGGCACTTCACTTCCATCATATCTAACTTCCTTTTGCAAAATGTTGTCATAGCTATTGCCAGACACCAACTGAAAGGTTTAAAAGTATACACACACATATGTGTTTGTATCGATTCACACCTCTGCCTCTGGTGAAGAGGATTTAAAGTGGAAATGAATATTAGTGCTCCTAACTAGGAAACAAAACTATGCTTAACTCAAGCCATCGACCCTGAACGAGCAACACACTGCACTAGGATGTTTATACAGCAATTTGTAAAGAAGCCAAATCTCTCTCTCGTCTGGGTTTTCCTGCTTAGGTTGATTCAGCAGCCAGATGGCTTATAAAGGTACAGCTTGGTTTAAACTGCACAAGCTTCAAATGAACAGTCTTTAATAAAATCAACATATAAAAGGAATTAAAAAATATCAAAGCACTTTTTGCCCTTTACTCTCCTACTAACAAATAGGGCAGAAGCATCCCAAATGGAACACTGAGCAGTATAGAGGAGTACTTCAGCCATAATTAGCTCTTACTGCCGACCAGGTTTTAATTGGGAGAAGAGGGGAAAACCTGTCTCATCAGAAAGAAATGTGCTGAACCTAGGAGAATATGCAGTCTTGTTTTTTCCCAGCTTATTGCAGCAGCTATCTGCCCAGCCCGACACACAGTTTCTTAGCTTTCCTAATTGTTGGGCACATCTCAGAACCTGGTGTGGAGAACAGAACAAAACAGTTTCAACTATGAAACAGTGGCCAAGAGGAAGGGGACGGCTCTGCAAGGAGGTACTACGACTGCAAATTTATATACTGTGGACAGATTTATTTTCTCTAGTTAACATTTCGTATTTCAGACATTCCTTACATGGAAGCAGATTCATAGGTTTCATTGGAATTACTGCTGGTCTACAGCTCTTTCTGGCAACCTCATCGATTGACTTGGAACAGGGGGGAAAAGGGAAATGGATATAAACTAATTTCAAAGTAGTGTGGGATTTGAGCAATTTGTGTGCCTTAATGATGGTCTGACCACCATGGGTACTGTAACGTCAGGCTAGACCCCAAAAAGAAAGGGTTCTACTTCAGCGTCCTTATGAGACTATAGTATCAACCTCTCTGTCTCAGGGAGCTTCCTAAGGATCACTTTGCTGAAGTACTGGAGGTGCTTTGAGGATAAAGAGCATCACCACAACAACTAAGCTACATCTTACTATCTTCTTCTACACAATCACAACATTGCCCAAAGGGTCACCTGTCCTTACACTCCCTCATCATTTATTCTCAAATAAAGGAGATCAAAGTTTTGTCCAGTGTCTCAGGAAACTAAATACCCCCTCTTACAAAAATCTGAGACTTGGAAATGTGTTTTCTCCATCTTTCTAGATTTTAAAATTTACCATTTCTGAGTGATTTTCCACTGTAAAGGATCTGCAGGTGCTTTAATGGCAACAACCCAATGCAACTATGCACATGAAATGACACTGCCCAGTCTGAAATGCTCTGGTGCGATCAGTTCAGTTATTTAACAGTGACAATTCAGAGGCTATGGTCAGAAAAGCTGAACCCAAATCCAACTGAAACTGCAGAGAGAACTTAAAAGGTAGGCCATGAGACAAACAGGCACTGACTCAAGAATGTGAGCTGTTGGTATTCAACAGTTTAGAAGTCACTAAATAGGGACAGGAAGATAGGTTTTAGTATTCAAGCTTCATTTTCCCATGTGGTACATCACAGAAATATATTTTTTTCCCTCAACAACATTGAAGTTTTATTTCAGCATAGTAATAAAAGTATCAGCCTATCAACAAATTAGGAACTCTTATGGGATGACCTGGTTATTATTATTAAAATTTTACTAGAAAGTAAAAACAAGCTAACACTCCAAAGCCCTTTGTGTGCACTTAAGTCCATAGTAACAACCAGGAATACATTTTGTTATCTACTAAAAACTTAAAAAACCCCACAGTGTATTTGTATGATTAAATTACCTGTATAGAAGCTCCAACTTTTTCATTACAAAGACTGCACACAAGTGCCCATCTACTACTGGGAATGTGCGAAACTTTTGTGATGGGCTCCATTTTTTCTGGACTTCCAATGCTCACCTAAGAGAAAAAAGGTTAAAAAACCAGTGACTATACACTGTTAACTGGAAAGAGAAACAATTTTATCAAAGAAATCAAATTCACTGTGTGCATATGCAAACTTAGTGTGTTCCAAATTTCTCAGTTTATAAGGAATTAAAATTCTTTTTTTAAAAAAAATCAGTTTCTCACTTCATGAACAAACCAGTTTCAAGGTGAAGCCCATGAATTTAAGATTATCATGCAAGATGAATACTTTGATTATAAGAACCTGCAGGAATTTTCACTGTCACATCCAAACCTTCCTGATTCACTTCTACAGTTCCATTTACAAAATGAAACCATACCTTGTGTCCTTGTTAAATGAGCTTTGCCAGCAGAAAAGGTCTCATTTTCCAAAGCCTAATTTTGGCTGACAAAGGAAATGTAATTACTTTCTTTACTGATGAAGCATCATCCTGACTGACTCTATATTTAACCAAAATTCTTTTATACTGCCTTCCTAAGTCCCGCTAAATCTATACTACACACATTGAAGCAACTCCCAGAATCGCCACAGCCTCAAACCCCCAGAGGATCGGCACATACCTCTGGAATCCACAGAGCACAGCTAACATGCACCCACTTGGTGCCACTCCGGGTTGGCTTCATGGCACCGCCCTTCTTGGGACACAGGAGGCACTTGGGCTGGACACCCAGTGCGCAGGTCCTGCAGAGCCAGCTGCCTTCTGGCACCTTGAGGATCCCATAACATGCCTGCATTCCCACATACAGCACAGAGAAAAAAAAAAACCAGAAGAAAAAACATTCATTTCTGGTACTTCTTAGCTGTTTACACATAGCCTCTCACGACTCTCAAAATTTTTGTATTCAGAGGGAAAAGTGCAGAAAAGCGATTGAGAACACACTTTTCAGAAGATTGCATCTTTATGGAGACTTCTATCCAAATTACTGTCAGTTTTAGTGCACTTAAGTTTCAGGTTTGATGTGATCAGAAAACCACTACAGGTCTAAAAACTTCTGCTTTACTCTGCATACCTCATAGGGTAGCCATTTGTACCTTACAAAGGTCTTCTAGGTTTGGTTCTTTATCATTAGTACAAATGCATTTAAGTAATGAACATGCAAGAAAATGTGTTTCCTGCTCACCAGACAACAGTTTTCCGAACACAGAATGACAACACAAATTTGTTAAAGCTGGGAAGGAGGGACAGGCTGATAGGAAAGCATCTGCCACAGTAAGAGGCATCCATGGAAACAGATATGCTAAAACTGTATCTCTTCTTTCATTTAAGAAAACTGCCACAAAAAGGCATCACATAGTGGTGCTTCCTTAGGTTGGCTCAGTAGGTTCTCTATGAAATTATCTGTAATAAATCCTGTGTACCTACTGACTGCCTTTTTTTCCCTCCCTGCTGAGCCTAAGCTGCTGATCCTAAAGGTGTGTTAGGCCCAGAACTGCACAAGGAGAGGAAAATACAGGAAAAAACGTGGCCAGGTGAGAATGTACAACAATGCACAATGTATGTTTTGGGGAGGGCAATTCGTCACCTTACAGCTTCCTCCACACATGCACAATACCACTTTTAACCTTCTTAGCATAACATTTCTAGAATTACTCCTTCTTATTTACATAATTTCTGAATTCATCCCATTGCTCAATGGTGAACCCTGCAACAACTTAACTGTCACTGAAAAAAAAATCTAACCTGTTATCTTCAGTGGTTTGAAAAAGTTTCTGTCACCACCCTACATCCCCCTGCTGTGCTTGGGCTGCCATACCTGGTGCACACAAATATTGCATTTGTCACAGAACACCATTTCATTGCCATCTTCTCCATCTGGAGACTGACAGACATCACAGACAACATCTTCATCATATTCAATCCCGAGTCCTTCTTCTGTCTCGATAGCATGATTCATGTTGTCGTAGCAGCGCTGTTCAAACTCCTCCATGACCCTTTCCATCGTGTACTCATCCAGCTCAGGCATCCCTGGAAGACAAGAGTTGTTTATTAAAGGAAAGAGTGATAGCCATCGCCACACACAACTCCACTTTCTTTTTTAGTAGCTGAGTGGATACAGCCAACCCCCACATGTACACATTTCATTCCTAGAAAATCATGCCTATTCCAGCATAAATCAGGGAAATTATAAAAAAAAGTCAAAGTTGTTTTCTAACTGTATTAAACTAACAAAAGTGGAGTATCCAAATCTTTCAAAATTCTGACAAAATCTTCCATAAACTGATTTTGGCTTCCTGATTTTGTTCTCATTTTCCTTCTGGGACAGCACCATCTATGGCTTTTGCTCCAATTCTGCCACCCAGATGTTGACTCTTTGGTGAAAGATTTGAAACAGTTTTGAACTGAAAGTGATGGGGCAAAATCCAAAGATACCAAAATCTGCTATGATACTTGGTGCAAACTTGCAGTTTCTAACATCAGTTGTTGGTTTATCGCAAGTTCCAACCCAACAGGGTGCAACCCCAACTAAGGTCTCCATCAGACCCTACTACACCAGTAAATTAACTTGTTTTAAAAAGTGAAAACCACAGCTGAAATAAATGCAACATCAAATCTGGAATTTGCTCTTTTCCAACAGAATCCATCAGAAAATTAATCATGACATAGAGCTCATTATGTCATGGTAGTCTATCATTCACTATATTAAATGACTATTATATACCTGGAAAAAATATCTATCACAGAAATTGCAAGAAAAGTATCAAAAAAGAGCACAGTGCTTCTGGCTTCCATCTCCCACTTGCTGTGACAAGAAGCTGGCTGTAATGCTTCCAAATTGGTACTACACGAATCTTTCCCACAAAATCGTGCAACACAAACACCTGTGAAACCAAGCAAGTTCTGCTACTGCAAAGAATCACCTTCATTTTGCAAGGTTGGTTTAGCACAAGAATTTCCATAGACTTAAATCACTACAGTGAAACGTAGGCTTGGGATATCCTGCTTTTAGTCTAACTCCCATAGAATGTTTACTGTAACACTGTTGTGGTTTAAGCCCAGCTGGAAATGAAGCACCACACAGCCACTTGCTCAACCCTGCTCTCTTCCCTCCCACAACAGTGCAATGGGAAGGAGAATCAAAGTAAAACTTGCAGGTTGAGATAAGAACAGTTTAATAATTGACAATAAAGTAAAATACAGTAATAATGGCAAATGATAATAATTATAATAAAAAGGGAAAAACAAGTGATGCACAATACAATTGCTCACCACCCACCGACTGATGCCAGACCCCCTTCCCGAATCCAAATCAGCCCCCCTTCTTGGTTACTCCCCCTAGTTTATATACTGGGCATGATGTTCTGTGGTGTGGAATACCCCTTTGGTCAGTTTGGGTCACCTGTCTCAGAGGTACTCCCTCACAGTTTCTTTTGCAAACCTTCCTACTGGCAGAGCATGAGACAAGAAAAAAGTCCTCGACTTAGCATAAACGTGATCTAGCAACAACCAAAATGTCAGTGTGTTATCAACACCATCCTCATTCCAAATCCAAACCGCAGCAGAAATTAACTCTATCCTAGCTTAAACCAGGACAGACATATAGGAGACAGCAACTTCACAATGGGTGTTTAGCAAAACCTCCTTTCGGCTCTCTCTGTGAATAACTGAGCCACAAATTCCACAAAACAAAGGTTTTTTTATTAAAAACCTCTCTAGCTCCCCCTAATCAGAAGACAAACACTCCACAAAAGTACTTCTAGCTTTCCTTACTGACAGGTGGCAGAGATCAGTGCATCCCATACTACCCGAACTGAGCAGCTGAAAGGTAGCAAGAGGGAACATCCAAAATCCTGCTGATAAAAAGAGAGTGAATTTTGCCCTGCATGCCAGAACTACTGCACTAGCAAAGCAGATGATGGCAGGTTTTACAGCAGTTTGCAACTGAACTCTAGCCTCATAAATGCTATGGCTTTCTAAGCTTTTGGCAGCAACTGAGGTAAGCACTGGGAGTGAGATCGAGGTGTATGAGGTGGTCCCTGAGCTCAGGGACACCTGAGCAGCAGCCCCAATCCTCATCAGTACACAGAAAGCCTCAGCAGCCAGCCTGGAGAGGAGCAGGCAGTACTGAGAGCATCTGAGGGAGATTTAAAGGCAGCAAACAGACTCAGTAGCTAGTAAGGAAGAGTAAAGAGATCCTTTCAGATCCAACCTTATTAGCACACCAGTTTAACCTTCCTCAGTTATGGCATTGACAGGCCATAAAGTTCGATCCCCTGTAGGTGCAGGAGTCACTGAACCACCCATTTTTGGAAGCCTCCAGCCAGAGGAGGCCTCCAGCAGATGCAGCTCTCCAGGACAAAGGCTGCCAGGAGTGCCTGGCAGAGGAGTGCCTCTCTTTGTGAGACTGGGGCCAACAAACAGTTCATTTGCAGAAGGTGTGCCGTGGTTGAAGAGCTGTGTTGCCAGGTGAAGGAGATACAGGAGGAAGTGAACAGGCTATGTAGGATTCGAGCAAATGAGAAATAGATTGACTGGTTATTTTCAGAGATGCTACAGTTTCAAGACTCTTGGGAGTTGTGATGGACTGAAATGTTATTAGTGTCTTAAACATTGTCAAATAACAGAAAGAACTACAAGGAAGCAACTGCCTGTCCAGGACCACTGAACCCTGATTGGAATTTGGACTGTGAAGGGAGACTTGAGACAAGACTATTGTCTAATCATCTCAGCTGTGAGGAGAAGTAAACAAGGCCCAGGGGGTGGTAGAGGTAAAGGGTTTTGGGGGTGTGATGGTGAAAGCTCTCCACACCGAACCAAAGGAGTAACCCCCTCCTCAACCTCTGTGAAGGCCAGGTACACACAGGACATTCACATGAGAGGCAGCTGAGAAGGGATCATAAACCATCAAAGACCCCCAAAGTGTCCCCCCAACTCATTCCTGAGGCCTTCTACCACCAAAGGACTACACAGGATTCAAGTGAGGCAACAAATCCAGAGCCTGTTGCAAGAGACTGCAAAGCTTCCCCCCCACCCCCAGGGCAGGTGCCTGGGCATCTCCTGAACATATATTTATCCACTGAACTCTATGTTTTGGAGGACCTTCACCACCAAGAAGACCAGAAGGACTGGACTGACGGGATGCCGCAGGGTTCCATGGAATGGTGATTCAGGCAGAGGCATTTCTAATAAGTTTAATAACCGGATCATAACAGGAGTCTTGAACCTCTGTTGTAGTGGAGAAGCAGGTAGACTCAGAACTCTGCAGAGTACTTAGTCAACAGACTGTTAATCAAGGGTCTGTTAAAGATGAAGACTGGAAGCTGGTCACTGCAGGAACAGGAAGTAAGTTCCTCTTCCTTCTCAGAATTTGACAAGTAGGACTGGAATCTTCTACAACACATATGAGGCCCTGGAACTAGAAGGCCAGACAACTGATGAGGTGGGCAAAGGTCCTTCTTGGGGTAATGGGCCTCCTAAAGCAACACCACCTGTACCCTGCATCAAGACCTCCTCTGTTAAGAGATAAAGAAGGGTAGTTGTAGGAGACTCCATTCTGAGGTGAATGGAGGGCCCAATATGCAGACTGGAGCCAACTCAGAGGGAAATCTGCTGTTGCCCAGGGGCTCGGGTAAGAGACATTACTAGAAAACTCTCCAGTCTTATAAGGCCCTCTGATTACCATCCACTGTGGGTTGTTCAAGATGGCAGCGACAAAATAACAAAGAAAAGTTTCAGGGTGATGAAAAGAGACTTCAGGGCACTGGGACAATTGGTAGAGGAATAAGGAGCACAGGTAGTGATTTCCTCATTCTTCTGGTAACAAGGAGCAATATTGATAGGAATAGGCAGATCCATCAGGTCAATGAGTGGCTCCGAGGTTGGTGTAATGGGAAAAACTTTGGGCTTTTGACCATGGGATGATCTATTCAACATCTGGTTTACTGACACCTGGACAGGATGCACCTATCTCAGAAGGGAAAAAGAGTTCTAGCACAGGAGCTAGCAGGGCTTGTTGACAGAGCTTTGAACTAGCTTGGAAGGGGGAAAGGGACAAAACCAGCCCTGCCAGTGATGAGCAATAGGACGGTGTGCTGAAACTTGAGGAAAGGAGCACTAAAGGGATCCCTCAATCTGCCTCAGCAGGTATTGGCTACAATGTACCACTCCTGAAATGTTTCTACACTAATGCATACAGCATGAGGAACAAACAAGAGGAGCTCGAAGCTTTGGCCCAGTCCCAGAGATTTGACAGCACTGACATGACTGAAACCTGGTGGGATGAATCCTGCGACTGGAGTTACAGGCTCTTTAGAAGGAACAGGCAGGGCAGAAGAAGTAAGGGCTTGGCACTGTATGTAATATAAGGGTTAGAATGTAGAAGGGTTAGAAGGCATGGAGCCCACAGTTGGCAATGGCACAATTGAGAGCCTCTGGGTAAGAATCAAGGGGAAAACAAATAATGCAGATGTCATCATGGGAGTCTGGTACAGACCTCCCAGCCAGGACGATGACACCAACAAATTATTCTCTGAGGTACTAAGGGACACTTCCAACTCAACTGCCCTTGTCCTTATGGGGGACTTCAACTTACCAGAAGTTAACTGGGAGCATCGCACAGCTGGTACAACCCAGGACAGAAGATTCAAAAAAAACCTGGATGACAATTTTATGGAACAGGTCCTAAGGGGGCCAACTCAGAAAGACACTCTCCTTGATCTGCTGCTTGTCAACAGAGCAGACCTTGTGAGCAAAGTGGAGATTGGTGGCCACAGCAACCATGGGCAACTGAGTTTAAAATCGGTGTTCACAGGGGGAAAAGTGCCACCAAAATCTCAACTCTGTACATGAGGAGAACAGACTTTAGGCTGCTCAGGGAATCAGTAGGTAAGGTCCCCTGGGAAAATGATTTTGCATGTGCTGGGGTCCATCAGTGCTGGTCACAATTTAAACATCACTTCCTAAGGGCACCAGAACAGCAATTCCCAAATGTCGGAAGTCAAGCAGGCGAGGCAGAAGGCTGGCTTGGCTGAGCAGGAGTCTTCTCTTGGATAGAAGGTGAAAAAGGAAGATGTATGCCCAGTGGAAGCAAGGTCAAGTGATGTGAAGAATACAGAGATTCTGCTTACCGCTGTAGGCAGAAAACTCATGTGGCCAAAGCTCATGTGGTCAATGTGTTATATGCAGCATGTACTTTAAAAGGTTATGCTAGTGTAGCAGAATGGCTACCACAAGGCTTCTTGCAGAGGTACAAATCTGCTCGAAGAACAGCCCCTCTTGTGCTGCTCATACCCCAGTGTAACACTGTGGGAGCTCTCCTCTGCTTTTGGCAAAAGACAGGCAGACTGGATAGATGGATATCAAACAAGCTTTGAGGAAAGCTAAGGGATCTTGCTGCTGCTGTTTTCCTGAAGACAGCTGGAAAGGTAAGCTAAACTGGAATCGTAACTGAAATCCTCTAAGCCCTACACTAAACCTGAGCAGGATTGATGTGAGATCTGCAAAAAAGACCTGGTTAAGAGACTAGGTCCAGACTCAGTCATCTGTTTCTTTTATGTGTGGGTTTAATAAGGAGAAATAACTGTAAATGGTCACTTTGTGGTTGACCAGTTTTTCAGCCATGCCACGTATGGGCTACAGCCAGGTGAAACATGTTTGACTAAACTGCAACCCAAAGCAGGGAACTGCCACAATGCCAAAACAAAAACCAGCAGCGTTCACTAACATGTCTCAACCTCTTCCATCTGGGACAGCATCTTTTCCCTTATCCAAACAATCTGGTGAAAGTTCTGGGCTGACTTACATCCTATTTATTTCCACTGAAATCCTCTCATGAAGCACACACCTTACCAAAGAAATGTTCCTGTTCTTGCCCCTCTCCCCTGTCTTGTCCCACGCACAACCCACTCTGTAGAAAATGGAACAGCTGTTCCCCTTGTGACAGCTCCTTTTCCTGCTTTGGAACTAGAGCACACGGTGACAGTGAGGTTTGGCACTTTCCTCCAATAAGTCACTCAGGAATTCCTTACTGTCTCATTCCCTGTACCATTCAGGTGGTGTAGGTTCTCTAAAACTCTCAAGACTCATCATCTTGCCTTCTTCACACTGAACACCACTAGCTAAAAAGATGATACAGATTTGTGCTGAAGATAAAAACAAATAAGCAAGACTACCTGGAAAAACTACCAGAATGGTCTATCTGATGTTCTCTTTGAGAACTTGGATGGCAAAATGGGAACTTTGTCAGAATTCTTTTGTAAAAGGGAAAGCAGCAGAATGAAAAAAAAACAACACAGGGCCAGATTAAGACCACGTCTAAGCAGATACAACACAGCATATATCTTAGGGCTTAATCACATCAGGTCTAGTTTCCTGTGGCTCATATGATTATTATTTTCTCATACCTCTACCATCTCTTGCTACTGCTGCCCTCCCTAAAATTATTCTTAAGATTGCCAGCTTTAAAAACAAAAAGCAAAAAGAAGGCAACAAAACATTCGTTGCTCACCCATTTCTTTGAATTCTTCATTGGCAAGTTGCAACCATTCTACATCCACATCATTGAGATCATAGCGACACGTACTGTCCGCCAAGGTTCGAATGTCAACATAGCCCAGCTCTGGAGGCTCCGAACCCGAGGAAACAATGTACTTCCTGGGACGTGTAAATGTGACAGCTTTTGTCTCGGACACAATCCTGAAACAGACAAGCAGACATGAGGTGTGCTGGGTTGCTGAGAGGCTTGTTTCTAGAGAATTCAAAATGCCTCAGTCTAAGTGACTAACAACCATCAGAGCAGCCAGATGGTTAGACATCCCAGCAATCATCTGGCACCACTGAGATCAGAAAACAGTACCATGCACTTCCATAACAGATTGGTGGCATTACAAGAACTGGAGTTGTCTAGAAATCCAATTCATTACCAGCATTCTAAATAAAATTAAGTATTAGAGGACAGAGCTGTGCTTACTCTTATCTGAAATTCACACTTGTTCAAAGCTAAAGTAGGAATGCTGTATTTACACACTGATGGCTGCCATACACACAGATGTTAAACTCTGGTTTAAGTCTTTTTTTAAATCAATCTGTTTAACTACAACACTGAGAACAAGAAGATTCAAGAAAAAAAGTAATACTCCAACTGTCTCAGTAGAAGACATTGCACTTTCTCTTAGTTAACAACATGCACTGAAATTCAGTTTGGATGAAACGCCCTTCATGACATAACCCTGGTACCTCCACGAGCAACAGGCCATGCTGCCAAATGTCTGCCTCCTGCAGTACCAGTGGACGTGATTTTTTGTTGTGCTAAGGCTACAAGGGAGGAGACTGTACCACTGTGGGGCTGCAACTGTACGCTGGAAACAATCTAAGCTCCACAATAAGCAGGATATTTCCCCCATCTGAGGTCCACTGTGTTAACTCCTTCTCCTAGCAGAAGACCCTTATCTGCCACTACTGTATTTGCACAAACAGATATCAGTAAATCCTCTACCTATTTCAGTCTTCTGCACAGCACTAAAACTTCTCTCTCTAGCTTATTTCAGACAATGAACAGAAATGGTAAGCAAGAGCCAAATGATGAATTTGGGGCTTTTGAAGTGCTGTGAAAAAATACAAATATGAATGACCTTGCCAGCCTAACTGCACTCCCTGAACTGTTTCTGGTCACACCACACAGTATTAAAATGTCACAGACTACTGCATCTTCACAGAGAATTTACTTTCAACTGGGCACTGCTCTCCAAATCTTCCATATTGTAAATTCCTTCCTGAGTATCTCTCCATGTGGAAATCATAACCTCTGGGTAACACCCTACACATGCTGTCTAAATATCATGGTAGTGTCACAGAAGAAACAAGCGCAGCTGTTCTGACCTCAAAACAAACCCCTTTCCTGGCATTATTTCCATGAGAGAAAGAAGTAAAAAAAAAAAAAACCAACCCTTACTACATACTGAAAACCATTCGACTGAATTATCTATCCGACCACACGCTTCCAGTGAATCTCCAAACGGCCTCAATCCTTTCCCCCAATCTGCGCCTACCAGTCACTACAAGGCCAAACCTTTTATTTGCTGCTATGTATCTCAGTAGCATCAGTTACTCGTATAGTCTTGGCTTCTGTCTTACACCAGGTATGATTTGTCTATTGCTTATTCAACGTACAGAACACCCCCTTCCCTCCCAAAGTTAGGCACAGAACAGCTCCTGTACTCCAGCACCACCATGGCAGGACTCTCTGAGTCTTGTGATCAGGAGCAAAGAGGACAATAATCAGGCATCAGAGGGCCATTCTGACAAGCAGGTGCTCAGCAGCAGGACTACAGCAACTAGTTCAGCAGCTAAAACAGGAGCAGTGCCTGCTGTGCTGATACCTAGAACTGCAGGTGCCTCCTCTCCCTATCCTTTAACATCTTAATTTGGAGCAATATATCTGTTGGCCTTTGGCAGAGCAAAGCTCTCTCCCAAGTAAGTACCTGAATCTGATATAGTCACCAAACCACCTCCCTGACATACAGAGCGGGAATCCCCTGGGAGGTTTCCCTCTGTTCAAGTCCACAGGTCTCTCATCCCTCCACACCCTTGGGAGATGCTTGAAAGAGAAATCAGTAGGCAATGTGAGTACATGTAACATGAGTGTGCATCTCTGCAGGGACTGGGTGAGGTCAAGGTGGAACAGGGAAATGGTATGTTCCCATGTTCTAAACTGCAGAGCAGAGGGGAAAATGCTGGTTCTCCTTGGAGCTCCAGGTCCAATCCTTCAGAATAAGGAAGTACAGGGTTTACCTGATGAACAGGCAAGTTCCTCATTGTACAGACCTAGTGGGGCTGCATAGAGGTCTGCAGGTTGCTGCACAGAACACAAACAACACTAACAAATATTCCTGTAGCCCCTCTAATCCAAGCTGACAAATGCAAACCTAACAAAAGCAGTGTAGCATCATCACAAATTTTTTGCTATATATCAGGCTGTTCTGGTCCCACCAGCACTGGTGGGTCATTTGGTAATGCCTTATGGGCCAGCCTGGACTTCCTCAAAGAGATCTAGTATGATTAAATGGCAAAAATCTGTGTTCTTACATTCTCCAACTCCATCCCAATTAAGCATAAAATAGGCTGCAGCACACTCCCACCCTTACAACTGCACTGTTTAATTTGAAACAGCAAACAGTATCTAAGTGTAGCAAACAAGGTAAGGAAAATAAGGGTTTCTTGGATAAGAGCTAGGATAGCTCGCATTATTTAGCTTCATGCGCATCTGGATGGTTCTTAAAACAGACGAAATGTTGTACAACAATCCATTTCCTAGGTTAGTAAACGAGATAAAAAAAACCCAAAAAAACAGGAAAACAAAATAAATGCTGTATTTTCTCTAGCCTTTAAGCTTGGTTTGTCCATATGTACCATTTGAAAGCAACCTATGGCTTGGAACTAAGAAAACAGAGCACCACACAAGGGCTCTTCCAGCAACGATGAGTGAGCTGAAGTCTGGGCTTAAAAACAGAAGATATTTTTAAGGTTCTGTCATCACACTCCATGCTAACGTAATGCCAAAATCAGTTCTCTGACATTTGTATTTCACACAGGCAGAACAGGTCTGACTCTTGACTTCTCTGACCATTCAAAAAGCTGAGGCAGGTTGCTCTTTCTCTCCAAGAACCAAGACCTTCCTAGACACTCAGGAAGTCAAGGCAATGTAGGGCATAAGATGCTAGCATAAACGTGTACGTATTTGTTCACATTCCTCCAAACTGTACCTGGCTACTGGTTCTGGGATGGTCCCTGGGCTAACTGGCACCTGAACTCCCTTTTCCCACTCCTGCCTCCAGGGATCTGCCAGGACATAGTATTCATCAGGATTCAGCTGGAAGGAGTCATGTAACTTCATGGCAGTGATCAGGTCCGTTCTGAACACCTGCAAAGAGAGTGACCAAGAGAGAAAAATAGAGACATTGACATTTGATATTTACACTCTGCGATTCACAGCTTCAGGGTAACCATGGAGCACAGCGTGTAACAAGGTCACTGTACCAACAGTGCACTAACCCAGCCCACTGCAAGACAGGAGTTTGGTTTCATGGCAGGGAAGGGGGTGGCTAAGGGCATGAATCCTGACAGGATAACTTCCAGCTAACTCCACTACAGGTCCTGGCACTCCACCTGCACTGGAGACATAACGCTAAAAGGTGTTACCTACTTTCATCTCCACTTTGGCTGCAATAAAAGCTTCAGGAGCTCTGAGTTGTAAAACAGCAGCATAAGGAAGATCCATTTTTGTTCTAAAGTTTTTTGGTTTTGTTTTTTTTAATTATTGGAAGCTCTGACTAATCCTAAAACATTCTATAAATTCCTTATGGCAGAAATCAAGGCGTGATTCCACCATGACCAGCTGCAAAAGGAAATTCTAAGGAGATGACTCTTTATGTAAGTGTTTAAAAAAATAACCCAAAAGACGAAATAAGACCCAAACTGGAATTCTGGTGGCAGCTCCCCTGTTCAGCACAGGTGCTTGTTATTCTATCAGCTAGAGACAGCTCTGTCATAGCTGTAATTTTACTCTGCCTTGGCAAAGGTATCCAGCTCTAAAATGAGCAGAATGTTCGGCAACTTTTGAGCCAGCAGCTGTGAATAAGCAGCCATGCTGTCTTCAACAAGCCACAGAATGAAATAAAAAGGGATTCACTCCTGCAGCAGGCATGCTGTGGCACTGCTGGGGCAGCTTCAGCCTGACTGGCCACGACCTGTTGGCGCTGCAGAAAGCAAAGTGTGCTCCTATCACAGGCATCCCAACTACAAGCCTGCACTTGCCAACACCAGCCCCCGCACTCCCCACCCTGATCCCCACAAAAGGAAAGACTGTTATAGGGCTCCAACATTGCACTCCTCACCTCCATAACCACTAATTTGTAACTACGCAATGCTATGTTCAAAGGAAAGCGTCAAAAAGCAACCAGGTGACAGAAAATAAGCTTCATCAGAACAAGAAGACGGGTAACATCTTAAGAAGAACTTCCTGCAGACTTCTCAGTTTGTGGTGGTCAGAGTCAACATCCACTCAGCCCCATGTTGCAGTTACATAGGAAAAGATGGTTTATCAGTGCAGTGCTCCTAGATTCCCTTATTAGACTGCTAAGGTGGCAGAGTGACCCACCCTCCCATCCCCAAACCAATGATCACACTGGTTAGCTCAGCTTCAGCCTGCTGTTTCATGTGGTTGAGGAAGAACCAGATGGATACAGAGAGCTAACTAGGCAGGTCTCCTCAAAACAGCCATTTCTGTCACAGAGTGTTCACACATCTGAAAACTCCAGGATTTTGGGGAAGTATTTTAAGCAAACAGTGTATCTGATGGCTAATTATACTTCTGAGAAAATTTTCAAGTGTGATTTGCCTTACGACACTGCATCATCTTGAAACCTTTCCTCCCTCTCAACACAGACATAACTAGCCCACTTCTGTCTCCGTATGTTTCCATTTCACTCTGGTTTTGTCATAAAAACAGCACAAAATCATGACACTTTTCTTAACATTTGTCTTGACATGTTCAGAAAAACTGCCAGCATTAAAAAGTAAATAATGATATTACCATATGAAGAACAGGGTGAATGTAGGTAATGAAATATAATGAAATGTTTTAAACAATCCAATTAAAAGTCCTGTGAGGCTTCGACCAAGAAATGAAAAGTAAGCCATAAAGTAAACAGGCTCACAAAACAAACAAGCACAGTTGGACAGGGGATTCTGCATTATTGAGTGATTTGACTTAAAGCAATCAAAAGTCAAATGGAAAGAAGACTAAAAATATAAAATGGGATGCAAACCTTGCTCAATCTCAGAGCCAAAATAACTCTGGGTCTTAGATAAATTTGTAACAAAACACCCTCAGAAGCAAAGCTAATGCAATACCTGACAGCCAAGAAATTCCTTCCCAGGCCAGTTGCCCTGTGACACCATTCTTTCTGCTCTAACTTCTGATGCAGAGTGCCTGGAGCAAAGCTGAGCTTACAGAAGTGCTGGCTCTCAGAAGCACTGAAGACTTCAAAGCTAAAGGGCCACACTGAAGTCAATGGGAATTTTGCCGCCAATTTCAATGAGCCCAGGATTTCAACCGGAGAGTTTAACAAGTGTCACTTTTCTGCCAGTGTGCTTCTCATCACAATAGTGTGCTGTGGTGAGCAGGGACACTGTACAGGGAAGAAGGAAGAGGGGAAAAGGCTGTGAAACAGAGTCAAAGGGAAGTATAAGAGAATTTAATCCAGCCTTAAGAAACATGAGTGAACAGCACAAAACTGCAAAGATTCTGACAATAGCAGCAAGGTAAGGGAGAGAAGAAAACAGAAGCACACAAAAAACAAAAGCAAGACTCATAATTATCTCAGATTATTTCTTGATAGCCTTTCATGAGGTAGTTCTCAAAACCAGGTATAAGGGGCTACTTCTAAGGGATGCACAAATGATAACTAAGGGAAACAAGGCTATCTCTAGCAAGAATAAATTCACCAGGGATCTCCACATTCATTAAAAAAAAAAAGTCTTTACTGGCCTACAACCAAAAGAAGTTGGAAACCACTAGTACTAAGTGTAGTTCACACTGAACAATGAGTAGGATTCTCCTTGTGAAAACTCTTCTCTGAGACTTAGGTATACTGTCATTAGGGAGATTAATAAAGCATATTTTCCTCAACATCACTCACTAATGCATTAGAAATACATGTACAGGGCAAGCAAGTCAAATGAGAAATTCCATCTCCCAGAGCTAAGCTTCTACAAAGTCTGCAGTGTAGTATTTGCCTGAAGACAGGGAGATTCAGCAAGAACATTTCCAAAGAACTGGATCACATTTGTGTGTTACTAACAGCTGATCCATCCTGGAAAGTTTAAAGATTTATATCTCCCTTGATAGGATTTCTTCAAAGCATTAAGCGAGACAACTCTCAGGAAGAAGATTCTAGTTTGACAAGCATTTTAACAAAAATCACATACCAAGACTCAATACCAACTTATGAAATAAATGCAACTAATGTAAATCTCCACTGTTCACAAATCAAACTACAAATAAATCCCAATGCCTAAAATAGTACAAGAAGGACTCTGCAGCTATGTTGAATGGGTGTCAGACTACAACAAAATTCACAGATAGAAACTGGTGCTGGCAGTAGCTGTGTCAACAGCTGAACTCTCTAATCTTTGGGGAGGGAGGGGCATGTGCCAGCCAAAATGTAGCAAAAAGAAAAGAAAACGTAAATGGGAAGAAATGGATCCATTACCAGAACACGTATGTATACACTGTGTGTATACATACTGTGACAGATGTAACAAAATACAAATCAAATTCCAGAAATACCTCAGAAGGTTTCTGATCTTCATCTCTGGAGCATGAAGTTCTATGATGTTGAGATCTGGAATGCTGGGACCAGGCAGACAGACCTAAAATACAGAAATAACCATTTACAGGGTTCTGTGACAAACCTCCAGGAAAGTCTTTCAAATGTAGCAGACAATAAAAGTTACTCAGTCCTAAGCTTCTGTGATGACTCTCCTGGTTCTGTTTTGTTTCTCATTCCCTAACTGAGGTATGCATGTACTGGCTGCACTGCACTTACCTGCTTTCCACCCAGCATTTGAAGAAAGCCACCTCATAACATCCTTCCCTCCGAGCATCAATAAACAACTTTCTGAGATAGACCAGAAGCTCTGCCAATAGCCTGACTGCAGTCTTTGAAGTCAATGTATTGATGTCCTAGATACCTATATCGGTTTACCAGATTTCTGTCAGCACAAGCCTTTTGCAAATGAAGCAGTACCACGCACACACAGCAGAGCCCACAGAACAAGCTGTTGTCTCTTCTCCTGAGCAAATCTCACAGTGTGGTTGTACGATTTTTGTCTGCATAATTATTCACTACGCTCCAAACAAATGATATCTTTTGCCTTGAAACCTTTCGAGAGTCTCTGTCAGCTTTCAGAAATATTGTAACAGGAAAAAAGGGAAAAGAGGGAGAATCTGCACTCCTATGACAAAGTAGTGCTTTGACACCAGAATATATTATATCTGTGCAAATCATCTAATTTCAACACAGTATGATTTACAGGTACAGCAGATATTTTTCACTGCCAACTACACAACAGTAATGAAAAAAGTCAATGAATCCCTCTGGGTTGGAGAGATGAAGGACTTGGAATAGGTTTATCTGATAGGGAAGCTCAAACCTGTATGTTGAGCTCTGAAGGATGCACATAGATTTTGCAAATCTGGGCATTAACTGTAGAAAAAAAATCAAACCAAACTGATGCAAAGGCCTTCCAACACTGCTCATTCCTTCACAGCCTGTGCACATACACAGCAGGAGTAAAAAACAGTATGGCTACAGCCTCTAAGGGCAGCATATAGCCAGCAAAAACCTCTCAGGGATCAGAAATCACTGTTCAAAAAGCACAAGATAAGTTCTCTACTAAAAACAAAAAATAATTTTAAAAGTGAAGTAACTGTCCGAGACTTTCATTGGAAAGATATGACTGAATAATAAGTCACTAGAAGAATTCATTATGTTTTAGTTATCTATCTGCCTTCTCTTTTCAGTTAGTAATATACTAAGGAATCTGCTCCAGTAAAAACTCTCTGGAACACAGCAATGAATAACATACTACACAGAACATGCATAATGGTCAAAATTTAAGCAAGGTTCACAGCAAACAGCTAAAAATCTTATCTTCTGAGGTAAGAACACAGAAAAGATTATTTTAAGCAAATGTTAATGTTTTAATGTAAAAGATGGTGAAGTTATTAGCACTCTTCCTAAGCCCTCTATTTTACAATTACCATTTGCTATTTCTATGAAGGGAAAAAAAGAAAAAAAAAAAAGGAAAAAAGTGACTGACTGCCATTTACTGATCTGTGAGGAAAGCCAGACTCCCAAGATCATTTAACTACCACTCTATTTAAATGTTCTCTTGAAAACTAAATCAAAAACACAAGCAGGAGTATGAACCCTTTGTGAGGATCCTGTCCGCCCATACTCAAACTCAACCAAAAGTGAGAAGGGAATAAGTGAAATCCCTCAAAAAGATATACAGCTAAAATGCATGAAAAAACACTCAACATTTTTTCCTGCAATGTAAATATTAACATTTGAACATTCAGACAAACATGATTTCTTCAATGAACAGCCTCACTAGAAGACACAGACCACATACATATCCACACAGATTCAGTTCTCATGGGTTCTGATATTTTCCATTGGCAAGACATTAATATCTGCCACTGAGGTGTTCAGTGAGTTAAACCACTGCACCAGCAAGTCAGGCATTTGGAAATTTCCAATTCATTTATGGATCGGAGTGGTTTTGTACACTATTGGACCTGGGAGAGGGATGGCATACAAGGTAACGAATTAAGAACAAGCTGTACTGGCAAGGAAAAGAGCTGGTGAGTCTGGAGGCTTTAATGCAGTTGTTCCCAAGTAAGGCAAGTATCTGGCAAAATTAGATACAGTGGCAGTATGATATATTTCTGGGTCTTTACCAGTGTCCTTTAATACAGCTCTGATTACAACTTATCTTAAATTGAATTTAAAAAGCATATAGGCTGCCTTTTTTATTTTTTTTTTTTTTAAAAAAGCATATTAACAGATGGTCTCTCTTGTGTCACAAAGAAGATACAAAAATGAGGAATAAAACAACCCTTGCCATATCTGCCATCTCCATTTCTTTACTATGACATCTTACACATCAGAACAAGTGTCTTACTTCTACGTCCATGTACACAATGGTTTGGACACTGGATTAATTAACTATTCCATATAACATGAAAGGTCAACTCTTGTCACCAAAACTAAAGGATCTTCATTTTAAGTGACTTTTTAAAAGTGCTATAAGAAAGCACACTACATAAAATTTCCATGGGTAAGGGACAACTCAAATGCAGCCAGTCTTCCTCATGATTTATTATAATGAGTATTTTTTTCCATGCCAACTAACTTCCTACACTGAATAAGGGAACAAATTGTTTCTTACATAGTTCTTTAATAGCCACTTCCTTGCACATAAAATTGGTGAATGCACAGGGAAAACACATACTGTTTTCACTAAGTTACTGAAGAGACTGTTGTATTTTTCTGAGCAATGTAGACCAACTGTACATAATATTAGGAGAAAACAGTGGAAGAATTTCTCACAGGACTGAGATTTTACTGTGCACTGCAGCCAATAGATGACCTTTGGCAAGGGCTTTACTTCAATAGGGAAAACATTTACTCTGAATAAACAAAGCCCAACTGTAAGCCTTGAATTCATAGATTCAAACTACCACCACTACTTCGACACAAAAGTGTAAGAAATTGAAGAAGCCAACCAAATGATAGTAAAATATCCATCCCATAACAGTATTGAATTTAACTACTTCTGAAATCTCAAAAAAGAGTTTCAATTCTGCTTCCATCAAAGCTAATGGAAAAATATCACTGCTTTCACCAATGCCAAGCCCAGGTCACTGAATTTCTCAAACCTGCTCTCATTAATAAGCAATCCGCCCATTCTGAATACAGCAGTGCAGGAGGAAAATGAAGGATGTTATTTGTCTTTTAAGCATCCTTTTTCTATTTTCATACCTAAGCCAGGCAAGAGACCTCACTGAAAGCAAAAATTCACAGGCAATTAAAACTCCTTCAGTGATCAATGATCTGATTTTTACATGTAAATGCATGAAGTAAGAACCATTCCTGGAATATAACAATCTACTGTGGTCAAAACAAATACAGGATTTAAAACATCTCTTCTGTACTATGAAAGCACATGAACTTGAGTTATTTTAGAAAGATTCCAGGCATTTCTCAACAAAACTATCCTCTTGCATTAAGTATCCAAAATTACTATATTCATCAATGGTTTTCTGAATACTAGCCTTCGTTCCAAACTAGATTAGGACCACCAAAACTAGGAAAACAACTAAAGATCAAGACAAGAGTTAAATTCACTTTTAGTAAAATAAAATTTAAATTTCAAAAAAGAAAATCATAAGGGAAGCCTGAATCACTGGGATTTGGAAGATATAGAAGTTCTGTAAGATAACATTATATACCTCCATGGGAAGAATGAGTTCCACAGCAGATATAACGAGTTGTTAAGTGAGCTCATACTACCAAAAGCAATGTGAGAAACAGTAAATATGAGAAACACACAATTCCAAACCACAAAGCTAAATAAACACATCCAAAACATGCATCACCATCATTGTCAGACATCAGAGACAAAAGGTATCTTACTGAGTGTTACATGATCACGCAAGTTAAGGATGAACACAAAAGCCTAGTTAACATCAGTCCAGAAGATACACCAAGCTCATTTGGATTCTTTTACAGTTAGAATCCTTTCAGATGGCCAAGGATTTTGTCACTGAGAACAATGGGAGAGTGATGATACTAATACTATATGCCTCAGTTTTCCCTTTGTATTTATCTACTTAAAGACAAAAAGCAAAAAGAAATCCCAAACCACTTACAACATGTAACTCACAGCAAGGGAGGAGAGCTCTAACACACTACTGGTGCTGCAAAGGCGACTTCTAAGATTCAGGTAGGAATTTTTTCTTTTCCCCAAGGCTACTTTACATTTCACACTGTAAATACAGTGTTTTTATAATATCACCACATTCTGATAATAAAAGAAAGCAATAAAGGAGTGTGCATTCTTCTTCCATAGTTATGAAGAACACATGCTTCCCAAAAGGAAAAACATAAGCAATTTTAACTGTATCAATTTATTAAATGATCTGTCAAGAATATGTTTTGATTCCAAAAAAGTCCATGAAAACAGAAAATTGCTCAAGACCAATTCAAGCCTCCAGGTAATTCTACCTCACAACTAATATACTGCTCGGCATGGGGCTGGAGGGCTGGGCCCAGAGAGTGGTGGTGAATGGGGCTGCATCCAGTTGGTGGCCGGTCACTAGTGGTGTCCCCCAGGGACCAGTGTTGGGCCCAGTTCTGTTTAATATCCTTAGTGATGATTTAGATGAGGGGATTGAGTCCACCATCAGCAAATTTGCAGATGACACTAAGCTGGGGGGGAGTGTCGATCTGCTGGAAGGCAGGAGAGCTCTGCAGAGGGATGTGGACAGACTGGAGAGTTGGGCTGATTCCAACGAGATGAGGTTCCACAAGGCCAAGTGCTGGGTCCTGCACTTTAGCCACGACAACCCCCTGCAGCGCTACAGGCTGGGGACAGAGTGGCTGGAGAGCAGCCGGGCAGAAAGGGACCTGGGAGTTTGGATTGACAGGAAGCTGAACATGAGCCAGCAGTGTGCCCAGGTGGCCCAGGTGGCCAATGGCATCCTGGCCTGGATCAGGAACAGTGCGGCCAACAGGTGCAGGGAAGTGATTCTTCCCCTGGACTCGGCGCTGGTGAGGCCCCAGCTGGAGTAGTGTGTCCAG